CTTTCCTTTCCTTTCCTTTCCTTTCCTTTCCTTTCCTTTCCTTTCCTTTCCTTTCCTTTCTTTCCTTTCCTTTCCTTTCCTTTCCTTTCCTTTCCTTTCCTTTCCTTTCCTTTCCTTTCAAGGAAGTGAAATGACCTGCATGTATAGTATTGTGAGATGCATCTGTTTCCAATAGCAAAATTGTTAAGTTAATATTGAGACCATGTGGTGATAGGAAATGAAAACTGCATCTGTTTCTGGGCTTTTGAAAGGAGTATAAAACTGCAATCTGGTCTGCTTTGCTAGTATGGAATTTGCATTTTGATATGTGTGATAATATGGTCCATTTTGTTTCATTACAAACAATTTTATTTCTTCTCTCTACTTCATTTTGCATATATAAGTATGCAGACATCAATCCTACCTTCCAAGGAAGAATGCTATATAAAAGGTAGAGCTGTTCAGATTGACAAACTGAAAAAGAAACATTTTCAGAGTGAAGCTGTTCTCCCACTCCGATTCCGTACGAGGCTGCTCTGTGAAAAAAATGATCAGAGTTTCAGAGGCTTATTCAAATATCAATTTCCCTTGGCACAAAGGTTGCACACACCTGTAAGAGCTGGCAATATATTTTTAAATTAGCCTGCTGTTTTCAAAATATAACCTGGCAGAGGAAATTGTATCCAGAAGGAGCACTCAGCGAGTGAGCTTGTTGAGACTTAGAAATCTATTCTGGTGTCTGCATATATATGTATGAGACTGTAAGAAAGTGGTCGAGGTAATGCATATATTAAACATCCCATTTGTATTTAAGTGGTCGTTACAGGCTCAGTTTCTTCTCTTGTTTCCTTTTTTGTATCCTACCACAATGACTTTGCCAGTCCACCAAAGCTATTTAAATGCCTTTTTGTTAGAGATGCCCCACTGAACTGAAGAAAATCCTCCTGTTTCATGGATTTGCTCACATATATCAGCGGAATGTCACTGCATGACTCTCCTTCCTTGTCCCAGGGAGCTCATCACAAAAATCCAAGAAAAAATATTTTTCAGTGGATGGGCTAAGGCAAACAGGAAAGGGGAAGACATATTCTTGCCTTTAGGTATTTTTCCCCTATTCTCCATCTCAAGAAATATCAAGACAGAAGTTAACAAAACAATGTCCATGCCAACACACCAGTTCCATATTCTGGAACTACTTTCCAGCTGGCAGGAGCTTGTTGTTAGCTGACCATTGCTGTGAACAGGAGTAATCAGAGAAAAGGAGTTACTAATGGTGATTCTGAGTATCATAATGATAGTAATCATATTCTACTTCCAAAGCAGCCTCCAGTAAAGTACTAGAAGTACAGAAAAAGCAATAAACTTGATTCTCTTTGCATAGAGCTGTTCTTTCATTAGATGCCAGTCTGCAGGAAGGACAAGTTTGACCATAACAAGGCTGCTGCAGCTGAAGCTTTGCTCACATGCCCATCAGAGACAATGGTGATGCTCTGGAAAAGCACAGATGTGAGCTCTGAAAAAGGTCATGTAAAAGCTGAATGACATTGTCAATGTCCTCAATGTACTTTTGCTGACAGTTCGTCTTTGAGCTCATTACACTGATAAAGATAATTCAGATCAAATCAGTTCCTTAGGCCACCAGAGTAAAAATCACAAATACATCTAAACAGCATCTAAAAAAACTTGACCTGCTGAATTTTCATACAAGTGCTTTCTGCAAAACGCAGACCTACCTTGATGACAACCTAACAGAAAGTAATCAAGCTTCAAGGTCTCTAGAATATATCTTACTGTCTGTCCCCAGGCTGTCAGGACATAGCTTGTACAATTTCTCAAACTTGAAGGTTGTCATATTTCTCAGCTGTAGTAAGGAGATATCTTCTCCATGGATATAGTATAGCAAAAATATTTTAAAACTACTGCATACAAATGAAGACTCTCAGTTTACTAAGGAATAAAAGAATAAAATTCTATTGTACACAGATATGTTTTGAACACATTACCAATGACTTCTGGGATGTAGAAAAGCCCTGTGAGTAGCTAAAATCAGTTGTTTCCTTTGAGCATCAGAGCATCAAAATCTGTCCATCTGGTCTAAAATAATTTACTGAGCATCATCAATGTAGACAGGTTTCCAGGAGCTCAAAATAGTCTCCTCAAACCTCAAAATTGTATATGTGCATTAATATAGTTTGCTTAATAGGCCTTCAGCCAGAGTCTCATTTCAGGCTTCTTGACACTAAAGAGCCCTTGCCAATTGCCACCAGCTACTGCAATCTTCCAGATAGATCAGGATCTCCACAGATCCTGTCTGAGCCATGGATATATGAATGACAGCTTGTTGCTACCCCATTGACAGTGGATGCTCTCCTTAGAAAACAGGTTTCCTTGCTCTAGCATAAAGACTGCCTTTGCAAGTGAGCTGAAAGGATCACTGACGTTTAGAACATCTTGCAGTTTAGGTATAGGCAGAGCCAAATGTTTGATAGCCAGTCAGCACCTTATTTTCAAGCTATGAATTTGTTTTCCAGAAGTGACTCCCCTTTTCCATGTTTACAAACCCTGGAGGTTGTGAGTGCTATGTCTGTCTGAAAACTCATGCCTTTTCCTCTTAGGTAAAAATTTTGCATGTACTTATAGTAAACAATTTGTTTACATTCTTAGATGGTAGGGAGTTGAAACAAGAACAAAGGTGGATGATTGTTGTCACCACTCGTTGAATGGCACAGTACTTTAGTTTATATACTTTCATATTAGAAACTTAAGAAAAACATTAATTCCTACAGATTGCAAATTAGTTACAATTTTTCATATTTATGCAGTCATTTTGAATTTTATCATGGCATATGGACCAATAAATCAGTACAATGTTATTCAATTTTATATTTAACGTTACTTACCTAAATTTGTCAGGAAAAGAGCAACTTTTTCATACAGCTGTAACAGAGAAGAAACAGCCTCTTATTTACCTGGCTGGCTCAAAAATGTAGAACTGCTTTCTAGGGAGAGAAGATATTAAATCTGACATGCAGATGATTTCTGTGATGTTCTGATAATGACAATAAAACTACATAATAATACAGCAATGATATAAACAAACAAGAAAAAGTAAAGTTTTTATATCTCATACTCATCCATAATATATGGAGAAAAAATGCTGTCAACTGTCTCTATTTTATATACAGAGTGAAAAAGGGTGAGAGAATTTTTCCAAAAAGAAAAGCGAAACAACAACACAACTGAGATTTTTGTTTTAGTTACTTATGGAACATTCACCTCACAAGAAAATAATCACCCTAGAAGAGCATGCTATGGTATGTTTGATATGTTGGTTATTTGGGGATTTTTGGTTTTGTTTGGCACTTTGGTTCTGAGAGGAAAGACACAAGGGGAACAGGGTTACTTCAGAGCCAATCTTTAGTAATCTCCACCACCAGACACATTTCTTAGTCTGAGCCATGTCATTTTTTTATCCTAAATGGAATCTTCCTCACTTTCAGGTACTGTGCTCTCAAACTCTCCAGGAGACTCCAAACTTTGTTAAGATTACAAAACTAACTTGGAGGGTTTTCAGAATCAGTATTTGCAAAGGAGTTTTGAACCTATTAACTACATCACCAACACTATCAGAATTAGAGTAAATGAATACAATTATTTTAATTTGCTTTAAATTAGTCTGGAGCCTGTTCCTACAAATAGCTAAATGCCCTTAATTCTCACTGACACCTGCAGGAATACAATCTTCTCATATTTCAGGCTCAAGTATTTACTTACTCCTACAGTGCATATCAGCAATGTTTCTTTTTATTTGCAGTTATCCTTAGAATCTCTTGCTTAAATTGAGTTATGTATTGTTTACAGATCAAACTGCCTGCTTAAGAGCTGAAGTCATCCTGAAATCTCTCATCCATGTTAATGGCCACTTCATGCTTAGAATAGCTTTCCACTGCCTTTGGAGTAAATGGTTTTGTTTCAAGTAATGAAAAAGGTAGTTTCTTCTGGGTTTAAAAGCATCTCTTAAGGGCAACTGTAAATGTGCTAAATGTCTGAATCATTTATATCCTGATCCCAGCAAGGAGTGTGGTTTTTTTACAAATGTTCACTGCTCTACAGAAGGGTTTATTAAAACTTTAATTTGTTGCTGTTCCATTTGGAACAGTAAGACTGTGTTAGAGATTTTGTTAACAACATTTGGATCTAATTATCTGCTACTGTCCTTTATCACTACTACCCTCAAGGGACCCTGTTTGGGATCACATTCTGTTCTCTCTTCGTGTTTTCCATAGGCAATATTATTGCAATTAGCAGTTTTACATAGCCTAGGTAAAGCTAGTGATTGTTTTCAGGTCAGGCTGAAAGATTATCTGGGAGACATTGTGCTTGAGGGTCATTTTGTTCCGTTGTGATGGATGTGTCAGAAGAGGTACCTAGTGCTCAGAACATCTGGTCTGGAATTTACTTGTGGTCTAGACCTTTCCCCTGATGCTTTGAGAGGCTGTCAACTTCCATCAGAATCACTACTGGTTTTCAAGGCTTCTAGCAATGAATTCTCTACTGCTATGCACATCTTGCTCTGTTATGCGTTTATTACTGTATCTTTTCTTGCTCTTCTGACACTTTTCTTGAGACACAGTTTATTCAGGATTCTACTACCTGAATTGCTTCTGGGGATTTTTCTTCTCTCAAAAGAAATCCCACGATTACCCTTCAGTAAACTACATTAATCTATAATGGAAAGCATTTTGACCTTTTGAAAAACGCTTCTTTTGAAAAACGCTTGCAGTTTCAAATTTTGTGGATCTTTTTCTTCCATGAGCTATATCCAGATCTAAGGTTGTGGTGTTTATCAAATGGTGATGAGTACTAGGCTAGAGAAATCCACCTTCGCAGTGCTCCACTTATTTGATTATTTTAGGAAATAAAGCAAAGTTTCTCAAAAGGCACTTTCAAGCAATCTTCCATTATTTAAAAGAAAAATCTCAGAGCTGTAAAACTCTTTGGGAATGAAGAAATTTTGTTTGTGCAGCATTTCTTTGTTGCTGCTTCACTGCATATACAATGACTTATACTGAGAACTTGAAGATGGATGTTGCACTGGCATAGATACATGTATAGTATTCATTTTTTTTTCTTTTATGCTTATTGTGTGCTCTAGGTGGAGTAAAGAAAATTCCCCAAAGGTGGAGACAAAACCCAATAAAATAAAAATAACATAAAGGAAGAGAGCCCTCAGTACAATCTCAGACAGAAAACCAGTTTTCTCCTTTCTGCCCTTTCTCAGCCTATAGTCCCACCTAAGGAAAAACACAGGAAAAACAACAGTTCTAGATAGACTGTCTTATTCAGTAATCCAGTCTTGCCTATGCCAAAAGGAGAAGCAAAGTCCTGCAGCAAAGACTCTTGGAATTTCCTGCCATATAAAAAGGACCCATCAAAAATAATTTTTAGATCATGGGAATGTTTGGATACTGCACAGGAAAGAAATAAGTCTTCAAGCCAGCCTTGGAAATTAGGAGACTTGAAATAACATCTCATCTTTTCCCTAGGAAGTAAATCAGCATATCTCCTGGAGTGAAGCTTAACAAACTGTTTGCAGAAGATGCTTGCTATTGAGTAGGCAGAGATACTCCACCCTGGCTCCAGTACCCATCTGGTTTGTAGGCTGAAACCTCTTCCCCTAAAAGGCATTCTTATAATGTCAATTCACCAAACCTCATAGTGAAAGTCCACACACGTTGTGCCAAGAGCAGCAAAGAGCAGACACATTGCTATCAGAGCAATGTAACAGGGTATCAGCATCTCAGTGGAAGGAGGGAACTAATTTCCTGTCTAATCTATGCTATACTCACTTACTCTACTGTTGCCACATAGAAATTCCATTTCTGTCTTTGTCCCAGGTCTGGTTCCAAACCATCCCAAAATGAGCTGCCATCAGCCAGCCCCACTGCAGTGCAGCCAGGCCATGTCTCTGGTGCATGCTGGCAAAGGCTATGGGCAGCTCTGGAACAAATCTCATCTGCTCAAGCCTCGTGAAGCTTTCAGCTCAAGAGAGCTCTGCTTATTGACATTGTGTCTCTATATACATATCCTCATTGGAAAATTACCATAACAGCTGAAATTTGAATTACTGAAAATAGTGTAAATAAGAACTTAACTTTGTCACTATATTTTTAAGAAAGCCATCAAAACACAATTTAAAAGAAGAATATTAATGAAGTGGACAGAAAACTGTATACATATAAAAGGGAAAGAAGTGGCAGGGGATGAAGCAGGGGTATGATCCTGTCTCCCTAAAATATTTTCAGAATATTCAAACATACTTTACATAATATTTTGGGTTTGGAATGTGCTTTATATAAATAGTAAATTATGTCCATAAACAATAATTCCATGTCTGGCTTAGCAAGACACTCCACTCCTGCTGAAAAAGGAAGTGAAAGCATTTGGTTGTCTGCTGACTGAGATATCTACTGCTCTGGTGGCTTAGGTATACCTTTGGATATGTTAATTTTACTCACCACATTCAGTAGCATGATGATGCAAAAGTTGATGCACACTGCAGTCCCTGTAGTTGCAACCTGAGAGTTATTCCTGATTAAAGCCCATTTAAAGGCAGCAAAAGTGCTGACAGTCACAACACGGTAAATAACAATGCCAAAAACAGCAGCGATCACCACACAGATCTAAAGGAAGAAAAAAATCAGAGAGAGGAACCTGAAAACTTCCAGTGGAATAGGAGTAGTTACTTTCTCCCTGAAACTCTCAAAATGAAATGAAATTAAAGATTTAAAAGTACATTCCTTTTGATTCCAGAGGAAGGTTTCAACATGATAATTTTTCTTGTTATGTTCTTTTTATTTCTCATAATGAAAAATATAGTTGAAATAATATTAAAATAATATTTAGCTTTAAAATTTTTCTTGAAAATGTTCCTTTTCTTTAGCATTAGTGTGAGAAACAGTATTGCCAGCTCTGGGAATTAGAAATTTTCCTTATCTTCACATGAAAGCTAAGCAAAGGCTAGTCTCAAGCTGCTGTTGCAGCTTGATGGTATCATACTTGGGATGGATTCTGTGAACTGATGGACTTCACACTTCACACAAATGTCTCCATTTGTAAGCACTGCCTCAAAACCAGCCCTGCCAAGCCAGCCTAGCTAGCCGTTTCTTCCTTCAGTTCTGGAAAGTTTCTACCTAGAGAAGGTAACCAGTTTGATTGTCCTTGTGATTTCTCTGATGAAACTTTCAGGAAATATGACAGAATGAGAAAGCCACAGCTGAGCCAGGCTGCTTAGTCACTTAATGTACCTTTTGCAACAGTTGAGCTGTATTATTTACTATACTGTGAGAGTCTACGCTGAGAAATTTTGAGAACTGCTCTAACTTGAAGTTTGATAAGTGTTTATCTCCTGTTATAGATGTAACTAAAAAAAAATCTTATCTAAATGGTCAAAAAAAGTGTCATTTTCTGCCTTGCTGGAAGCCCATGCTAGGCCAACAATAAAAATAACTTCAGTGAAAATAATTTTTGTCCAGTTTTAAGGGCTGTTATAGGGACAATAATTTGTGGTGCATGCATTTGAGAGCAAGGCTACACTCTCTGGCAATTTGAGTAAGATCTATCACTAGTCTAAGAAGATTAATGACTGAGTTTGTACAAGGTAAAATACTGCCATCCTTCAAGGAAAGAAACATGGGGAAAATACACAAAATATCAGAGTTGTAGTATAAATTGTTGTAGTTGTAGTATCTGAGCAGAGACTGCAGTCCTGAATATGCATCCTCAAGGGCTGAGTCAGGGTGTCCATCCACCTGGAGCACCAGAGCACAGTTCATCTCAATAATGCTTTTGCCTTTCTTGACCTAGATTGTTTTGGACAATTTTGGAGCCATCAATTTCTTGCTGTCCTCTGCCCTGTTGCTGGGTTTGCTCACCTACCTGGCTCTCCACAGCTCCTGAGGCTGTACACATCTACCATTTTCTTGTCTCCTGGAAAAGCCCCAGTGAATTCCATGGCAGTCTGTTGGTTCCAGACCAGCACTGTGTTTTCAAGACCAGCACTACCACGCCTGTTGTCATGTGCATAACAGCCCACATCTGCTTCACTGAAATTAGAGGATGGGGGCGTTTCTGCAGAAGTTCATGCAGCTTTCTGTTAGGAGATTTTGCTGCTCCTTTTAGTTTTGCATAACTAAAGGGATAAATACATCATTTTAATCGAGGAACATTGGTTTCTCCATTTTGACTGCACTAGGAATATTAAGTCTCTTTACTCATCTCCTCAATACACTGAGAAACTAGGTTGTATTAACATCATTAAGCACTCTATGCATCTTATTTAGGTTCTCTGGGAAGTTTGAACAACTGCTTCTCCTATTGCAACTTTCCCTGTCACTCTGCACTGTCTGCACAGGGAAGGCAACCAGTGAGCTAATTCAGCCAGCTGAAGTTGGTGCCTGAATGTGATAGTGTCACTATTCTGGCATATGTCACTACGTACGGTGTCCCAGGTGTAGCCTTGAAGAAGGGATTAGCTATCTGTGAGACTCAGTCAAGAGTGAACCAGTGTAGGACTTGACAGAAACTCAAGTGATTTGCTCTGTAGATTTCAACATGCATAGAGTTTATTCCACTTCCAAGCAGTCATATCCAATATTTACCTACTCTACTAGCAGAGATAATGATATTTTGTTCTTTTTCAACTGGTAAATAAATAAAAGTTCTCAAACCATAAAAAATATTCCAGATGCAGAAACGATGAGTCTGCTGCATTTATCTGCAAATGCTTGATAAGGCTCTGGCTTCCCAGATATGGGGTTCATTCGTTCTTTCTTGGAGTATTTGGCTTCAAACTGCGGACGTATTTCCTCCTAAAGAGCAGACAGATAATGTTCACATACAGCACAGCTAGAAAAAACTCTGTAGGAAACTTCAGATCTTTTATCAGATCACTGTTCTAGGGAATTACATCTTTGAATTCAGCAGCTGGCACAGCTACTATAAAGGCTGAGCTGGGAAATCAGGTCTCTTTCATGAGAACTAGAATAAATCACTATACTCATAAAAGTAAGTACTAAAAGTATTTAGTAAAATCCTCAGTTAGCTATTCCTCTAAATAATGCTCTTTCAAAACTATGTGGCTGCATTAAAAATCATTCTAAGATTGATACCACAGAATTTTTCAGTCTGAAATTATCCTATTGATACTGGAAATTTACAACTAAGAAAAAAAAAACAAACCCAAAACCAAACCTTCTTTTTCCAAGCCTAATTGCTGATTGTTAGGCATTTGGTTAGGCTTCCATTACCAGCAAAAGCTTCTTAGTATTTGAAGAAGGATCCATGCCATCTGATGCTGCTCAATTATTTCTTAACTCGGACAGTATTATTATTATTATTAGGAGGAACAACTTCCAGCAGCAGAAGTGTCAAAGCCTGCTTTGCCATTAAAAACCCTCTTGTGAAATGAAACCTGGGGATTACTTGGGGAGAGATTTGGTTACATCTGTTTACAGCATTGCCAGAAGACAGGATCACCCTGGTGCAGGTGACACCTGCAGTAGTGCTGCCCCTCTGCCCTAACATCACCAAGAGCCACGTGTCCTGCACACCTCGTTCCAGTCTGGCATCCAGGACACTGTCAGAGGTGAGATAAAGCACTGGGCTGGGAGGATGGACTTTCACAAATGCTAGCAGATATTAGAGCACTGTTTGTAGTACTCTGCTGTATACTGGAGAGCTGCTCTGCAGTGCAGCTGGCTACAAGGGAGCAGACAAGAACCAGTTTACAAACTTCAGTCCCTTCCAGCCCTTCAACTGCATGGACTGACTGAAGCTGGAAATGCCCAGACCTTAAATGACTGTACTGAAATAGGTGAATGTTAACTGCTCACACAAGTCTTCAGAATGTAAATAAAGGTGAGATATCCTAAATCCTACATTCTTTTTAAAAAAATTCCTGTAAAGGGGGAAGAAGTCATGTCTCATTCTCCTCATTCCAAGTTTTGACGATGCTTTCTCAACACAGTTAATTTCCAAATTCATGCAGCAACCTGGTATCAAGTTATAAAAACAAATAAAGAGGCATGTATGCCTAGCTGCAATGCCTCTGTAACTAATTATGTGCTTGAGGGAACCAGCCATACCTCAGCTATACAGAAAGGCTAAGCATGTTTCTATGGAGGCAGAGTAATACCCTGTTCTTATTCTGTTTTGCTCAAGCTGTTCCTGCCATATCAGGGCTGAAGGAAGCTGAGCAGACCGTAATCTGGCAAAAGGAGCAATGTAAGTAGTATTCCTGTGTGCCCAGGGGCATGGAAAAGGACAGAGTGTGATAGCTGTGAAGCAGAGTTCCTGAGAATTTTATCCTGTAGATTGCACAAGGGCTCTGCCAGCTGGCTTGTCATAGACAAGAAACCTTTACTTCTTTGCACCTCTCTCTGAGCCAAGGTTTGATTATCTTTTACAATCTGCAGTGTAGGGAAGTTCTTATCATATCCACATGTCCTATAATCTCCAGCTGATGCAAGTAATGCAAATGCTATTTTTAGACATTCTCAAAAAAAAAATTGGAAATCTGGCATGACACTTTGTACCTGTTTAATGATACTCAGCAATGCTTGGGCAAGTAAACAGTACTGTGTCTAGCTGAGGTTAATGATACAAAGAAGGAGACACTGAAGAAACAGAAAAAATATGCTACAAGTAACAACAGAAACCAGATTTCATCTGAGAGTGCCAGGAACTGCATGCAGTTGGTTTCTTGTGGTGCACCCACCCAAGACACCTTTGCTCTCCATGTCTCCCACCTTGTACCTGGTTTGCAAGAACAGGAAATCCAGATATGTGGGGTTGAAAGAGCCATAGCTCAGCTCATATCCCCAGACTGAGAGGCCTGAACATTGCAGGGGTTGCTGTATGCTTTTCTTGGGTGAGAATCTAAAGTGGTAAGGAATTCACAAGGTTGCATATCTGAATAAGTGCAATTCTCCTTTCTATCGTCTTCATTGTTTAATTTACTTGTCTCTTCATTTAGAACAGGAAGGTGATAACCAAGAGATAGGAAGCCTTATAAATTGTGTTTTTTTGATGTATTGTTGCTAGGAATTAATAAATTTCCCTTTGTAAGAAAACCTTTTTTTTCAATTTGACAATGGAAATTAAAGAAAGCAAAGGCTAGACACATATTGTTAATAAAATAACAATCTTCATTATCAAAAGCCTGAGATTTAAAATGGTAATTAGAACTCTTTAATCGATGTCTTTGAAATAACTAATAAAGGCAATCAGCTGATTTTGTCTAGTGATAACTGAATGGAAACCAGAGAGGAAATTTAATTAGCAGTGATTTTATTAGAAAGTAGCACTTTAGGAGAAAAATTTTCACCTTCTGGTGTCAAAATTCTCATTGGCTTCTTACTGACATACAGCTTCCCAATGAAACTCCACAGGATTAATCTTTTCCAATCTACATAAAACAGACTGTTCTCCTTCCTTCCCATTTCTCACACATGGATAATTCCAACTTTTTCATAAGATAAACCCTATTGATTTCTGAAATATGAAATATGGAGTAATGTGAATTGCCTTAGACCAGGTCTTTGTGCTCTAGAAGAGCTACTCTACATTTCTTTGTGAAATACCTCATTTTTTCCCCAAGAATTTTCTAATCCTTCAACAGGTAAATTATTGAAATAGTCCCATCCTTCCTAATCCAAGAATATTGTCCTCTATAGCCCAGACATAGAAAAAGAATTTGTAGATTGAAAATTTGAATCTTGATCACCAGTACAAGTATAGCATCCCCAGAAGTAAGTCTCCAAGGAAAGTCTGTGGTTTGCAGGTGAAGACAATGGCAAAGTGAAGAGGTGGGCTTTGAACCACAGAGCAGGAAAATGTCTCCTCACTTCCATCTGGAGCACCCACTCCCAAACTGTGTCTTTCTCAGGGGAGAGTGCACTTCCAATGGAAAAGTACAGCATTAGCTACACAAGCAGAGGAGGCTGTGCCATTGGGCTGACCCCGAAGCTGGGACATGCTCAGCTGTGCCATAGCTGTGGGCACTGGGGGCTGTAGCATCTTCAAAAAAGATACCTCTGGGAGGCAATCAGCTCCACCTCTTTGGATGCCACTGCATGCTGAACTGATGCCTCAAATGCCAATGAGATACTGATGTTCTAATTACTGGACACACAAATCTTTGAGAAGCAGCCTGTTGAGTTCCTATGAGCATCTTTAACCTCTAATTTGAGAAAGGTACAATCTGGCACACTGCTTCTGAAAAAAACTTCTACTTCCTGCTGTAGAGACTCGTAAGATTCCCTCTAGAACTGTAAGGAGGTGCACTGAATAGCTCTTGAATAGCTGATAAACGGTACAGTCACCACTACTCCTGACAAGAGATTTTGTTGACACAGTTTACTGGAAAAATTCTGGTAAGAATAAAACACCAGCTGATATCAACAGGGGACAAGTATCCTCTGAAAATTATCAACATGCAAATATCATCCTGCAGGCCAAACTGAAATAATCTGCCAGGGGAATATAAATATATCTTATTAAAAAAGAAAAAAATGGGGGGAAAAAAAGAAAGGGAAAAGAAAAAAAAATCGAAGTGTCACTTAAGGACAACCTTACCAGGAAATTCAATATTTGTATATTAACTGATCATAGAAGATTCAGGTGGATGGCTTTATAATTCAGCATAATCCCAAATGCAGGTATGTTGAATGGTGAAAGATGAAGATATATAACATCCCAAACTATAAACATCTGCAAGACCAAGCTTCCTGGGAAAAATGTAAAGAGGTTCTCATACTGCACTTACTTTTGTATTTTGTTTGTTTAAACAAACATTCCAGGAACACAGAGAAAGCTATAATTGTCAATTGGAAATTGCAATTTGGTACAGCTTTTTCTTAGCAGTCAGCATTGGCAGCAGTGGCTTTTTTTGCAGCTAGCCATGAGAAGACATGATCCCTGCAGACCAATCCTGAGCTCTCTATGAACCTCAGGCAGGACTGTCTCAATCCCTTTGTGACTTGCCAGAATTGGAAAGAACAGTCTGCTGATCTCAGAAAAGTTGAATCAGTATTAGAATATTTCCTATAATTAGGAAGATAGTCCTGGGGTATCACCCAGAACTGACTGAACATGTGCATGGATAACAACATTCCTGTTATAAAGAAATTAATTTCCAGTTCTGTAAGTTATTTCATGTTACATTCTTGAGTTATTTTCTTAGTAATTAATAATTTAAAAGAAAATCCTACCAGCAATTCCACCATTTCATGGCCTCATTGAGATACTTTGCCTCATACAGACAAAAATCCCATAACTCAGAAGTCTGTTTCTGTGCTGGCAAGATTGATAAAAAAGCAAATCTTCCACCAAAGTAGGGATGTAGAGGTTCAGCTTCACTGAGACCACTACAGCAGTCTCTTACCATCACTCCAAGAGCTTCTGTAGAGTAAGGAGAGCAGACTTGTAGACACCTATATGTCCAAATCCCACTGGAGGAGAAATTTTTCTTCAAAACTCATTGAATCTTGCTTTTCTCCTGCATGATAAAACCTTCTAGCTCTATTTAGACCTGAATTCTCAGTCCCAAGAGCATGTGGTTAATTTCTGGTGACCACTAGAGGAAAAGATTAAGGCTATTTTCTGAATTGTAGTGTTTTCCCTAAGGGGATTTCCTGTACCAACACTGAATGAATTAAGTCATCTCTCTCTCTCTCTCTCTCTCTCTCTCTCTCTCTCTCTCTCTCTCTCTCTCTCTTTCTCTCTCTCAGATAACCAGCACCTGAAGGTTCAGAAGCTGGTACAAGCCTCAAAAGGCTTTCCTTCCATCAGTACTCTCAGTGACAAACTAAAAGAATAGATACAATCTCATTTGCCAAAATTCAAAGTCCCCTGGGCTGTCAAGAATTTCCAGCTTTCAAAATAAAAATGCATTTCTCCCATAGTGCATTTCTTCCCTGAAATCTTTCAAATTAATTTAGATTTACAAAAGTGTGAAAAAAGAAGACAGTTTAGCCTGGAGAAAGTTTCTTTACATTCCGGAGGAAACATCTGAGAAGAAAAATCCTTATTTCATAGTTTATAAAGATTTAAAAAATGAACTGAAAATAAATGCAAAATAAAACCATACATTTTCAACCAAATAATTTTGTATTAAAGATTAAAGAGTACATGTTTTTATACAAACCTCTTCTTCTTCCCAGTCTATCAAGTCCCAGTCATAAGCAATTACTGCTCTCCTTCTTTTCCAAAACTCCAGAAAAACAGTGGCTAGAGCACGTAGGGAAAAAGATGCAAAATTGTTTTTAAGTCAAGAAAATGTTAATGACTATCACAGAACTATTAAATGAAGCTGTTACATTATTTTAATTTCTTTGCATAAATGGGTTCCTTTGAACAGCAAATCATGCTCATGATCAAAACTGCTTTCAAAAAGCATTGCTTTCTAAGGATTAGTTTGCTTGCTTCAAGTATGATTGAGGCTTTAGAGATTTCATTTAGTGCTAAATGAGAATGTTTAATTTCTAACCAACCAAGGGAGTGCTCTCAAAGAATAAAATTGTTCCTGTGAGTCATCACTGCTAGATAAAGCAGATTTCTGATGAAGCTAAGGGGTTTCTTGGGGCCATTGAACATAAAGGACTAACTTTCTTTCTTTGAAGACCATTTACATTACACAGAAACCAGAACCCAGAGGAAACACAGTCCAGTGCATTTGAAAATGTGTAGAGTACTACTGGGCAAACAGGAACTTCTGGTTTACACCTTTTTAATTCAACCCCCCCTTTTTTTAACAGTATGTGAGTTCATATATGGGGTGTGGTGTTTATGTCTGATAGTTAAATATTCTGTAGTACAGCCCTTATTGATAGAGTTCAAGATGGAGTAACAGGCCTGCACATGATTGCTATGGGAAGACAACTGGGAGTAAATTTAGAGAAAGCTGGGAGGTTATATTCATATTCTGAACAGAAGTTAGAACAGTACATAAATTACAGGGTAAAATGCAGTTGCTGCTCCCTGGATGGAATGCGGGTGGCATGCCCGAAACCTATTCCACCATGACTGCCCATATACCTAATCTGCAAATTTAAGCACGTGCTAAGGGGAATGGAATGGAGGGTGGAGCAGAATGGAGACACAGAGGTCAGGCTCTGATGTAATCCTTGCCGGGAGGGGAACTAAATGGTCCTTTACAGCTGATAAACGGCACAGCACCTGTCAGCCAGGGGAGACAGGAGAAGGTGTCTTGCTGCTGAGCCAGCAACTGTGGTGAAATCGGTGTCCCTGGATGAACTGGGTTCATTAAAACCTAACTATATTAACACACACCTCCATCCCAAAGTTACCTGCCTTCAAGGTACGACCTCTCCTCACTGGGCATGCACTTTATATTTCATTGACTATATCTTTAAGAGAGAAGGGAGAGAATTTTACAGCTATCAATAACAAAAGTGTGTATCACTAGAGCCATTCAAGTGCCGTCTAAATGTAAACAAATAGTATAAAAGTAAGTTAAGAATGGGGAAAAGTTAGAGAAGACTCCACCATAACTTCTGGGATCAGGGAACGGGCTGAACTTGTCTCCTCCTCCAAAGGAATGTTTATTGGGTAATAATTCTATTCTATGCTTGCTGAATGATCATCTTGAGCTAGGTTTGATTGATGATTACACCTTGTCTGGATATTGCTTTGAATACATTTTTGCAGTCAGGTACTGTCACTGTCAATCTTTGAACTTTAACCTGTCACAATTTTCCACTGACAGTGTGTATATTAATAAAGAGTGTTGTCCCCTAAACTGTTGGTGTGAGTCCTTCAAGAGCTCTGGCAGTTTCCAGCAATGCGTACACATGAATTAAAGTGTGAAGACCTGGGAGGGGGTCTCTCTTCTGCTGTTGGTGTGTGTCCCTGAACAAGTCACTCAAACCATCCTCTGAGCCAGTGGGTAGCTCAGTGGAGAGTCACCATAACAGGGCATTGACAGAGTGATCAGACACAAAAGTATTGGCTTTCCTGGAGCACTGAAAGACCAATCAAATACAAAGGATTTGAGGAAATACCCACTTTGATATGACAACTGTGCTCTCATTTTGTGATGGAAAGAAAAATCAAGGAAACAGTAATAGCAAAATATGCTCCTAATCCAAAGATTAATACTCAGCCTGCTTAAATATACAGCAGTGTTAAACATTTATTTTGTGTAAAGGATCTGAAACTACTTAAAGTTAACACAAATCAATGGGCAGGCTTCCTCTCCCCCTGTGAAGCAGAGAGGAAGGCTGCCCTTTATTGCTCACTGAGAAGTAGCAGCTTGATAACCAAAGAACATAAACCTCTTTGTTCATCAGCTAGCACAGTACCAGCTGTAACAGTGTCACAATAGTCTGGCAATGTAATTCACATCCAGTCATAAAAGCATCTCCTTAATGGGCTGTTTGCCCTCCTGCAGCATATTGATAAAAATGGGACCTGATACTAAGTACTGACATCAGTTTGGCAAAAGTTAATTTTTAGACAGTAAGAATTGTGTTTTATTGTACTAGTCAGTGCCGTGAAAGTGTGCTTAGGAAATAAACATTACAAGCAGACAAAGTAAGGTATCAAAAGCATGTGTAAGGAAGCAGATATTTGGTTTGAGCGCATTTTCATGTATCAGGTAATTATTTTTCTCCAAGCTGGAATTACGCCAAGTAACAACCACTTTGATTTTAGTCTAATAGAGAGTCATGAGCCTAATGCTTCTATAAATGTTTGTAATAGTTACAGTATGATTGGTTGTGATCAGCAAAATCAGTAAATGCTAATGAGGCTCCACTGCTACTGAAGCACAACATGTTTCATTCCTTGATTTCTTTTCCTGGTAGAACTGCTTCTCTCCCATCAGCTCATATTCAATTATTTTGTTCAGGCTAAAGAAGTAGTCCTGCACTGTTTGGAAACCTAGGAGGAAGCCTGATTGATTTCTGCCACTTTGTTTCTATTCCAGAAAGCTGCTGGTAGCAGAACTCCAGTAGGTATTTGAATCCCAGCCCTGAAAGTCTCAGATATATCTTTGTTGAACAATACTTATTTTCTTTTTTGTTTTTACCACACCTGGAGTGAAGAATTTATACATATTATGTTTAGCACATTAAGCACTGTCAGAGTAAGAATGTGAAGTTCCTGAAGCTTCTTTAGAAAGTTATTTTCTAATCATTAAGTAGCAAATATGATGTTCTGTACAGTACTGTTTTATCTTTCACTGTGTTACACTTTTCTCCCTCTATTCAGGTCAGTATGCAGCTTTCCCTTGCTAGATATTCTAAAATGTGCTATAAATAACTATCTTTGATTGATTCACTGTGCTACTGAGGTCTTCTAAAAGCACTGAATTTTCAAATTTCTCTGTTTATTCTCTAATTGTAATTTTAACTGCAAATACCCTATGCAAACTTCAGTATTCTTTTCTGACTTTGACGTTCAATAGGACACAGTTGTATTTTCCCATTTGTGCAAACCAGATCCTGAGTTTTCTCAAAAATTCCTGCTTGGAATTTTGCATTTCTTATTGGCCTTAGCTCTCAGATCTTTTACTAGCTTTTCCTATACTATGTTTGTCCTACTTCAGAACTCAACCTTGCAGCTGGGTCCTCAATATCCACTTGTACAAGCAGCTGTCTTAACATCATTTCCTCAGATGCTTTTGTAACAAGTTGTGATCTTATCTCAAAATGCAAATAGCCTCTTGTAGGAAATAGCTCTACCCTGACCTTCTCTCAGAAATCCTCTCTCTATTGTATTTCAGAGCACCATTTCATATATCCATCCTGACACCTAGAATATATTCTATATACAAGGAGTATTGCTGAAGAGCATCCTTAAATTCTAGCTCCTTGGAGAGCAGATTAATGTCAACGTTTTATGCTAGAGGCAAGATTTGTACAAAAGTAATATCTTTTATTAGACTAACAGATACATACAGGAAAATTATTTTATGTTGGCATTTCTTATTGCTTGAAAAAGGTGTTAAATTCTTCATGCCAGTCCTCTTTTTCCCTTCCCAATTTTGCCTTTCAGCAAGTGTTCTAAAGCTACCTCCTTTATCAAAGGAAACATGCTACACAGGAAAGAATTTCAGAAAGGATTTTTCTTGCATCCCTGAGCTCCCCAAAGATGTGCACAGAGAGAAAAACTACCAGCAGCCTACCCTGTCTCCAGCATGGCTTTAGAAATGATAAATTGCTGGAGTTTCCTTCTGAACAGTTACAGAATTTTGGTCTAGAGTTTCAGGAAACATCTAGGCAGTAGCAGCTTTGCAATAGATTTCCCCAGTACCTCAATTGGTAAAAGCAAAATCTACAATTCCATCTGGCTTTATTGAAACATGCTGGAGTCAACTGAGTATCAAATTTACCTAGATTTTTCAAATGAGAACTACTTTTTCCTTCCTTCAGTATAAATGTCAACATTTTTTTGAATTAACATCTTTTTCTCATTTTTCTGTCTTTGGTAAGAATCTAATAATTTAGGCAGTAAAAAGAGGAACTTTTCCCTGATATGGCTTTATGCTTTATTGTCAAGCCAAACATTTCTCAAGGTATACATCAAGAACAAAGTGGAGGTGTTTCTCCCTAGCACAAAACCACAAAATATGATATGGCTTCCCTATTTTTGAAAGCTTTGAACATCTGGAAAATGTCATTAAAAATATCTTCCAGCTTCTCAGATGATCATATCTCAGTGAGCATCAATGGCAATCTGTTCACTAATGAAAAAATTTTAAAAAATATTAACAATTACAGGGATTCACTTTTTTCCCTATAAACCACAAAGATTTATAGCTTCAATCTGTTTAAAAAGGTATTTCCTTCAAGAGAAACTTCAATGTAGAAAAACTTATGAAAATGAATAATGAATTCCTTAAGTGCACTGAGGGAGACTACCTTTTTTCCTTTGGTAAATCAGTTAAAAGTGAAAGTTTCCTTAAGTCATATGGCCACACCTGGTTTTGAAACTCCCAAGCAAATGGCTGAAGATTCTTTCTCAAGATTAGAGCTTACTAATGGATCTAAAGGCAGTGAAGAAAATACTTTAGATAATAAAAAGTAAACTCTGGCTAAAGAGGTAACACAGTTCTAGCTGCCTTTTCATTTTGCTTTCATTCTCTTCTTATGAAAGCACTGCCTTAATTATTTAATATGTCAGAGTCTGTCAAACTGGATGATCTGAAAGGCTGAACTTTTCACAGACTATATTTTATGAGCTTGCCAGTTATTTCATGCTGACAGAAAAAACATTTCCACAATCAAACTTCTATCATCGATTCTTCTCTTCCTCTGTGATTTACAGCCATGAAGGCAATGCCTGCAGCTGCCAGTAGGCCTACTGCAGACTAAAAACCCATTTAACACAGGCAGTAATCCAGCTCCTAAATACAGTACCAGAAAATCCTGAAAAGTGTGACTTCCTGTCGCCCTGATTCTTAAGATTTTCTAAAGCCTTCTGAGTTTACATTCTGTTAGAAAACTTTCCCACACATTTTCTATAAACAACATATTGTTTTGCATTCCTTCGTGGGGGTGGAGGAAGTTGATGTACTGGTGGTTTGTCCAATGTCTTTGGAGAGGTGGCCCATTCACTCTCCAGTCCACTGTCACCTTTGGAAAAGTATAAAAGCTGGAGTCAGAAAATAAACCTTCTTATTTTTTACCTTGCCATTGCAGTGGCTTGTGTTGTGCTTTCTCGTGTCCTATAGCGACAACTTCCCTTATTCAAATGTTGGTTTAGCCCTTTCTGCATGGCAAATATCTCCACAATCTCACTGTTTTCCCTGCAAGCTCTTCTTTAAGGAAGTATGGTTTGTGTGGAGCCAGAGGATTGCCCCATTCCCCAAACCATACCCTACACCCACAGCTCCTGCTGGTGCAGCCCCTCCCTCCCTCTTGGTAGTCAGCTCCCAAGCAAGTGTAAGCCAACAGAAGTGCTGGGGAAAGCTCTCACCCCAGCTGCTCTCCTAGAGTTTCTTCTCCACTAGCCAAATTATCAGGGGACAGCTTCTACTGTATTTTTTTCTTATCTCACTGTGGACTTAGGTGCTGTAGATGCACGGGTGGGCAGTGCATTGCTCAGTCCTGGCAGGCTGATGTGGAGATTCCTGGAGGGAATCGGGTCTGGGAATCTGACAACGATGCTGAAGGAGGGGGAGGAAGGAGAGGCTAACTAGAGAGAGATGTGGTTCCTGTCAACTAAAGAGAGGACTTCCAACATTTTGTAGGCAGGCATGTTCAGCCTCCTCAGGCTTCTCAAAGGCAGTGACCACAAGGCAGGACTGGGTATGGTGACCTCTGTGAGGGACTGCCCTTACCTAGATATACTTTTCCTACAGCTCTGGATCTGGGGACTGCTAAGACACAGAAACCATGCTATGAGTACAGCTGTTTTCTGAGCACTATTATTGTTAAGGAGAAACAAAAGCACTGGTGCAAAAATCTGCACTCCAAAGAAATGTCCACCAGTAGTTAGGAACATTGCCATAAATGTTCAGCAATATTAACCCATCAGTTTTCCTAGCTAGAGATGTCCCTGCTTGTACATTGTCTTGGAAATTCTCAACTTCAGTGAACACATGGAGAAAGAGCTTGGAAAAGCTGAGTAAGCATGCAAAATAAATCTTTAAGGCTTGGAAATTTTTGGTGATTGTTAGCTCTATGTAGCTCTAAAACAAAGATGAAATATCAAGCAGAAATGTAAAGACTGCATGATCTGTATATTTTTTTCAAATGTGATCTGTAATATTTGAATATTTTCAGTATTACATGAAATGGCTTAAATAGGCTTGATATTACCTAATTTAATTGGAGAAAGGAACTGAGAGATGGATAAGCTAATCTGTGTTGTTCTGGTGGCTCTCATGATGCCTCTTGGATATTTCTTGTGGTTCAGTAAAAAGATTTGCAGTTTAAAATTAAGATTATAAGAATTACTTGGACACCTTTCCAAAGCAGTTGGAGATGTGTGAGTAAGAACAGGAGAACAATGACTAAATCCAAACAGCGCAAGGACTTGAATGCTGTTTTGAGTTACATTGTTGAGCCATTTTCTGCAGTTGTTAACCTTCTCTCACAATGATTTGTAGCAGCTAAGAGCCTGGGCATGTTCAGGGATTGTTTGAAATAATTTTTTGTGCTGCCAGAAATTACTGGTTCCTCTTGCCTTCAATTCTGCCTACATGACATAGTAGGAAAAATAGTTGAGCCAAAAATAGAACATTTCTATGGGCAAAATTCAGCCTCCATGGCAACAGTTAGACCACACTCAGATCAATTTTCCATTCAATGACATCTTTTATTTATTTCATTGGAAGTTTGCTTTAACTGCAACCAGCTTCCATGGATTTAAGTTTTTCTGCCTTTTTGCATGGTAGGGAAAAAATATTACTCCATTTTAATAGTGACACTAAACTGAGCTGCTCTAAGCTAGGAGAAGCCCTGAGCAGTAATAGATATGGCCTTAGTACCAATGTATTTAAAAATGGTTAGAAATTCCCACAGAATTTTATATATATAAACTACATAGACACTATATAAGTGCATTCATATTTTTGTTTTAATTAAAATTATTATCAAGTAAAAATTTGATTCAACCAATTGCATCTTCCTTTTGCAGAAACATAAAAGTCTCTAGCCTGTATTCTTTTTTTTAGTGTCAGATAAAAAGTGTGCTGGGAAATAAAAAGGCCTATGTTACATCATATTCCTTAAGAAAAAGATGGTGCAATTACTTAATATCAAAATGAAAACTTACCCCACACTGCCATGAAAACAGCAAAAAATACAGTAGCTCCATTGTCAAAAAGGTGGGTTACCTGAGAGATATATTAATATGGTGATCAATTTGTGATAATAGGCCTTTATTTTCAATTTTCATCTACTAAAATTAATGTGGTCATGAGTTTATCTGGCCTGACAATCCTGAGGAGCCTTCCCTTGACATGTGAAATCCACCTGTGAATTGACAGTACTATTTGCCAGCCTGGCATGGGACTGTCCCCTGCCAACACCAGATGTGAGCATCATTTCAGACCCAAAGCATTAATTTTATGGAGCCACATGGAGAGGATGGATGAGAAGATAAAGGCTGATGTCAAGGACACCGTAACACATAGCTCTGTAACACGACCTCTGACACTGCCTAATCTCCAAGTGCAAATTGCACTCAAATATTTTGCAACCCAAATTAAACATTGGTGAAAGACAATGTTAATGTTGGCTGAACTTGATCTGTCTCATCAAGATTTCATCTATCCATGCTCGCTAAAGACATATGCAAAAGGCAAAATTCATGCTTTTACCAGGAAGTATCTCTATTTGCATAGCATAAAACATACCTTGGCATAAATGCAGCTGTCTGACAATCTCATGAAGGGGCAGTATTTATCACATATAGGACACATTATGATATCTGTAGCTTGGCAGACTTCTTTACTGGAAAAATAGAAAAGAGAAAAATTACTGGCTTGATTACTACAACAATTTGCACAACAATCAGTCTGGATTGATAGGCTTTGCTAATATTCAGTTACTTATTGAACAAAACTGGTCTGTAACTGAAGCCAACATGTTCATGACTGCATGTGTATAATTAATATTTTCTGACTGTCTAAGACTACAGAGTTTACTGTCATAACTGCAGAGTGCAGTTCTCCAGGGACAACGCAGCAGCATCTCTTTGCCATTTCCAGATTCTCCTTGAGTCAGAGTGACCTTTGGTAGGAGGAGGATGAGGATAACTTCAGACAAAGTTATCCTTGTGACTTAAGTGCACAAAAACTTAGAGATGCAGCACTCAGCAGAAGGTCCAGGGATTTCTTCATCTGAGGAATGCCTCTTTGTGGTGGATCTTTGGGAAAGGCCTTATAGAGAGTGAAAATGCCTCAATTTTGTGCTGGACTCTTAAAGAGTAATGAAGGAGTCTACTTTTTCCCTACTTTGTTCTGACTTGCCAGCACCATTAGCAACTGGAACTGGGCAAGAAGCATTTTCTTTAGTCCCAATTCAGGAGCATAAAACATGGGAAGTTTCATACTGGGTACCTTATAACAACTAAGCAGTCTTTTCTTGATTGTTTATTCAATAGTTCAAAATGAAATAAGTAACAGCTTGCAGGAACATCTCTCAAATTATTCATAATAACCCTAATTTGCAATTTCTTTATAAAAGTTCCCATGTTACCTGACTTGGCAGTGGTTCAAAGTTGTGACTCCGTACAAAAAGACAAACAATCCAATGAAGGCAGCTGGGAAGAGCATCCCTGTGTACCAGCCTAACCAGGCAAAGTACAGCCCAATTTTCTCACCAAAATACCGTCTGTTTTAAAACAAAACACAGCAAAGTTACCTGCTAATTAGAATAATCTACTTAATCTTCCTCAGTAGTAGAAAAAAAATTTCTATCATATCTGAAGAGTAGATTAAAGAACTTAAAACATAATCTAAAAACTCAATAACCACAGTTTACAGTTAGATAAGTGGTGACCTCATGAAGGAAACACTGAGTTACTTTTAGAAAGCTAGTTCTTTGTATTTGGGAAATTGTTGGTGTGCTTTGATTTTGACTGTTTGACTTTACTGCCTGGATAATTACATTGAAATAAATTTTATCCCTAAATCTTGTATAACAGCAAAAATTATTTGAGCTCAAATTAGTTCTGTGAAACCAATTAACCAGAGTCCATTCTCCAATACATTTTATTTTCATTTGATTATTTATTTCCTTAGTTCAGTTCCTGGAAAACTAATTTTATTATTCTACTGCAGTGGAAAGTGAAGTGCAGGTAAGGTCCATCATCTTGCAATTGTTTGAGGAAAGCTGTCTGAATTGATCCTAATTTATTAGATATATTGCTCAAAAACTAGCAGCAAAGTAGCCAGAAAGTTCAATCTTGCTACATACATATTCATTAGCAATTTTCCTCCTCCCAAACAACCAAACTTTTATTTATGTGCTGGAGAATACATCAAGCACACAAAAACCTGCTGAACTCATCAGCAGAGGAGCAGGGTCATGTTTTGTCTTATTCTTTGTGCACAGTAGATTTTAGGGGATTATTTGCAGGATTGGTTTTAAAGAATGATGCAAGATGATATGTTTGTGTTTCAGAGATTTTGTAGACAATTTAAACTTGCATATCAATTCAATTTGAAAATAGCTGCTTCTGGAAACTCACCCTAATGATGCAACTGCTGATGTATCCAGAAAATAAGTGCAGTGAGCCAGCACTGCTGGCTCCTCTATGCTGCCAGAAAACATCATTGGCCAAACTTTCTCAGTGAGAATGGAAAGACCTAGAACTGCCTCTAGCACTGGGTGCACTGGAGGACACTTGGTCTGGACTGCACAAAATTAGCAGTTTTCAAGTTGTTATTACAATTTCCAGTATGGGAAATCTGAGCTCACAATCTGATGGAAGTTACTGATCTGCAGTGACTATTTTCATTTGAGTTTACCAGCTCTGTATAAGAATCCAAGTACTGTAATTTTGTTTTTTATTCTTCTGTCATTCAACAGAGACTCAAATTCACAGACTAAAGAGAGGGTAAGATAATGCTAACATGCTCACTTCTGACAAAGGCAGCAGGTCTGATTGTAAAAAAACACACTGCAAACTGCTTTTTAAGAGCTGATTTAAGAGGGTAAATGAAAGCTTTGGCCTGATTATTTTCCTGACACCTAGGATGTCAGTTTGTGCCTGCACCTCCAAAAATGCAAACTCACATTTGAGTTTACTTTCACTAAAAATGGATGGCCTATTTCTCTCCATGTACCTAGTTCAAAGTCAGTGGTGGTAATTCTCTCTGAGCCAGGGCTCAGTAATGTGCACAAAGAATTCCAGAGGTTTTGTTCCAGAATGCATCACTGTGAATGACTTATACCTAAATTTCACCTGTTATCATTCTACTCATTTCAAGGCCTCTTTGAAATTTTCCAGTGTTGATAACATCTTTGTGTTCTTGTTAACTTTGCTGATCTATTACTACCCATTTTTTTGAGATTATTAATATGGACATTAAAAAAGTTGTTGAGTCTTTAATGATTCTCCCACAGAAAATTTTCTTTACAACTAACCTAAAAGCAAGACATAGAAAAACCCCAAGCACCTAATAGAATAATCCATCTCTCCTATCCTCATATGTGCTGTACCATCAAAATAATAATAAAAATGTAATTTCAGCTTTTCAGTTGTGAGATAGCCTGTATACTAGCCCTTCAATACCAGTTACTTTAATGGTGAACTGTATATCCCCTCAATCCATTCCAGTGGTAGAGCTATGACTTAATTGGGTCAAGATTTCAATATCAATATTTATCAATAAGGCACATTTTTGGAAGGTATTAAGCTACAAAGTCTGATTTCCAACCTAGGAAACTGATATTGGATTATCCTATGTTTAATGACCCTCATTACAGAATATTTTGCTTTCAACATGCCTAGAAGGAAGCCATGGATCTAGAATATAGACATATCAGGGCTCAAGCCAAGAACCTATCTACTTTCATTAACTCTTTTGCAGGTAAGAAGGAGTTGTGTACAGAACTTTCTACACCACAGAAACTAGAGCTTTCCAGTAGGTGTTTTGGACATAGGAATCTCTCATGTCAGAAGCAATGGGGTAGGTAGGAAGGCTTGACAGGAGACTGAAAGGGAGCAGTCAGCTTGCAGTCAAGACATTTAATGGAAAAGCGGAGCAAAATGCAGGTTACTTAGGCATCAATTTTTGCTTCCAAGTTCATTTAGATACCTTTACAATCACTTAAGAACCAGTTTTCTCCCTGCATTTTTGTCCTTTTACATGCACAAGCAGCAGCAGGAGCAATTTGCGCACAATCAGGAGGGAAGCAACAATGCACAGAAGTGTGAAGGAGGTGATCCAAAGTCCCCAGGAATCACTGCAACTCTTTCTCTTGATTTACATGGTCCCAGAGCATATAAATATACTGAGACCTGTTTCTATCCAATTATAATAAATTCTAAGGGTCATAAATTATTATTGTAAAGTATCTATGGACATTAAATTCCAAGAGATGTATCATTAAAGTCATAGTACCACATCTGTTGACTAATAGGAGTGGCTTTGTAAATTATTCTCTGTGCATTCATACTGCCACATGTTTCAAAGCAGAGTGAAGCAGAATCATGCAATTTCCCTCAAATTATTTTTTTTATTTATTTTTAGTGACTAGTATCTCCATAACAGCCAGCTGATGAAATGAAATTAAATCTGGGGTTGCCAAATTGGCAGCACAGGAGATGAAAACGTCATTTTAACATCTAAGGAAAAAATAAAACAGCACTGGAATATGAACATTTTCACTTAAAATTGTGGTAACTTGACTTTAAGATAGAAATAGCACATCTATTGATGACATAAATGTACTGTCTACATCTAATTTATTTCTTAGCCTTTCTAAAGCATTGCGTCAGCTAGCAGCATCAGTTCTGGCCAGATGTCTGTGGAAGAATCAACATCCAGCCACTCCTTTTGTACAGACAACCACACTACATGCTTCAAACACAATCCCACATAACTCTTATTATGTTGGGGGGAGGGGGAGGGGAGGGGGAGGATTTTTCTGCAGTATAACTGGCACTGAAAAAAGCTTCTTTTTAAAGTGTGCCCACTGAGATGATTCCACGTGAAATGAACAGCAGGTCTTGCTGGTGTCATCAGTTCTTCAAGGAAAAGTCTCCAGTTCAATAGACATGTGGACTGCTGAGTGGCTGTAGATGTGGGAGATTCATTCATGGATGCTGGATTACTCACATTTCCTTAGCTCCTCCCAAATCTTCAAATCCTCTGAAAACTCAGCAGGAGCTGAGGAAATGTGAGTAATCCAGCATCTGTGAAGTGAGAAGGATAAGACATCTCCTTCTTTTGTTTGTCACCCTCCTTCAGTGAATTCATCACAGCTGTGGATGTGTTCCAGGCAGCACATGGCAGGCTGGGCTGGGGCTGCAGCTTTGGACCTGCTGAGTTTAGTGGCTTGTAATTTAGGCTGCTGCCAACACTCAGGGAATCTCACAGCTCCCCCTGCCCCTCTCCTCTTCAGGTAACCACCTACTCTCAAAAACAGCAGGACATTCCTGACTTCAGCTAGGGGGTCTATAGCAATTGCCTTTATATATATATATATATATAAATCTGTCTGATGAAAAAAAAAACTTTCTTAAAAAAAATCTTTAATTTTAAATGCAGGATATGCAAGAAGGCTGCTATCAAGGTCTAGAATAATCATATCTCTAACATTGCTTATTCTGTTGCTGTTTATTCTCATACTTTATAAAACCTTTCAGATGCCTGATCATCAAATTGAACCAAACACCAGATATTGCCTCAAGAGCACTTTCACAAACAAGAAGTGATGAAGAACAGTAGCCTTGTCCACTATGGAAAAATGATTATAAAATTCTATAGAGATATACAGTTCATACTGTAGTAATAATATCTTTTGTACTGGGAAATTAAAAGCAAAAAATACCCTTAGTATAACTGTTGGCTCCTTCATAAATCAGCAATTTCTATTGTGCAATTTGACAAAAAATTCCAAATTTCTATCCAGTGTATTAATAAAAGAAATAAAAAGCTTTTGGGATTAAATGATGATATTTAATAAATTATTTTGTAAAGCATTAAAAAAATTACATGACCAAGTAAAACTTTTTATTGCATTTCTTGTTAGCTTTTTATCCATGGAAATGAAATTCTCTGTTTTATGAAATGGATATGTCTTATATGACCTTAATCAGTAACACTGTCTGTCTCCAGGGCTATCCTCTATAAATCTTTTATCTGGAAACAATTTTGAGAATAAATAAGAGCAAAATTTTCTATTAGTTACAGGACTTATGAAATGAGGCACTTAATAAGCTGGAGCAATTGCATGTTGTGGATGACCCTTCCTGATGGCCAGTGTATTTTCAATGATCCTGATACATCTGAAGGCTTTATTAATAGAATCTTGTAGCTCCATACTCCTCTCTTCAAGTAGAAAAAGCCCATTACTGTCCAATAATAGTTCTGCCATCACAGCCAGTAAAGGCTCTGGCTCTCTCTGTATGTGTAAGAAATATGTAATCCTCTATTAGTGCACACAAGGCTATTTGAAAACATTGTTTTAAAGGATTGTAAGAACTTGGAATTGGAAGCTTTCTCAGTGTTTTTTTCTTTGCATGCTACTTCCAAGATGAATAAAAATCATGAGAATGGTGATGTGGCTGGTCTGAGTTAAAGGGTAGTGGTAGAGAGGAGACTTCCATCACTAGTGTTGCTGAACACAGCAGCACGCTTGGCAACTGTAGGCTCTGCTCTGTGCCATTTGTAAGCATCATTAAACTTCATCCAGAGCTCATTCTGTGGTTTATTCTGTGGTTGCTTTTTGGAAAAAGAAGCTCTAGTTGGTGAGAGCCTATCTTTCACCAAAGCCATGCTCCAAGGAAGAAGAACTCCTGTGGACAGAGGTCTCATCGGGTATATCCAGCCTCCACAGATTCTTCTCTTCATTTTTTTCTGTTAAATATCCTGTAAACACTTCATTACAAATTACAGTGTCAGGAAACTCTGGAAGAAAACTTCTTTTACTTTCAGGTCTTTCTACAAGCTCCTCTATAAATATTTCTTTGGATGTAGTGTCACCATGAATTAAATATTTTCCCATGATTCAGGATCAGTTTTTTAAAACCACATGAATTAAATAAGCTTTTCATGGTTTTGTCAGAAGTGAAACAATGTGTGCTCAGTCTATAACGTGACACAGCAAAACCAGTAATTCTTACCTTACAAGATCCAGTGGCTGGTATTTATACCATACTCCCCAGGAAGCCCAGCACTCATAGAGTAGGTGTCTGTGGTTTTCTGCTCCATGGGTTTTTATTGAATTCTTACTTCTGTAACTTCCCTAAAATACAGATCTGGACATTAATGAATAACAGCAGCAAAAAAGAATATTTAAGAAATCTCTCTTATTAGCAGCATGGATAACACAACTTATGTATAACTACACACTTTTGCTCCAAAAGTTAAATATGGCATTAAAAAGAAATCAACTTATGTCACTAAGATTTGAGAATATTCTTCCTAAGAAATTTATAATAAATTATATTCAAGTCATAGTCTGTAAATGCAAAGAAAATCTTTGGAAAATCTCAAAAAGCCCCCCAGAGTGTGATGTTTTTCCTCTTTGAAAGCATACTGATATATCAACTCAAAAAGTTCTTACAGAACAGATGCAGACCAACTCTCTTTACTCATCTCTTTTTGCAAGAAATTTTTCCCCAAGGAAAAAAGCTAACTGGAAGCATGTCAGAGGCAGTCATTAATAAGATTAAGGATAAATAACTACACAATTTATTCTTAATTTTGTGGGAAGTGTCTATTCAAAAAGAAAAAAAAAGAGCAAAGTACCTCATGAAGAGGAAATGCAGCTTCATAGGAGCCATTACTGAGCAATCGATTCAGACCTAGGAATCAAAAGCATTCAATTATTTACCAACAGGAGCAGAAAAATGGCCAAGTAAAAAGCAAAACATATATTAATAAACTGGCTAAATGAAGATTGAAGCAAATTGACAGTACACGATACATGAAGAAAAATTAATCTTCTATAATTTTTGATAATTCAGAAATAATACAGAGAAAGACTTGTTCAAATAGTAATCAAAATCTATCATTCCTCATGCTAGAGGCTTAAAGATTCATTTGCCAAATCCATCTTTAGTGTAACTTCAGTGGAATTGGAGACATAACACCAGGTTTAAAGTTTGATCTTCTAAAGCATGGTATAACAAAACTATTTAGATGAAAGGCTGCATATCTTAGGATCTTAAAACTTCAGGGTAGGTCTTGACATTTTTTGAATTGCAGACCACCAAAGCAAAAGAAACTCATAATTTCCATATGATAACAACTTTTTAAAATGTGTTTGGCTTGTGTCTTATAAAAGTTGCTGAACAGACAGAAAGGAACAAGAAAAGCTGCAGCACTACCAGAAAATAAAGACCAGAAAATAAAATCATTCCTATGTGGCACAAAAAAAGTAACCATACAACCCACTGATTCATCCATGTCCCTGTTTAATGGGAGCCTGGAGAAATAATGTTTGCTGAGATGGTGGTGCTTTTCATTTGGAAAATCACCAAAATAGGACTGTACTGTTACCAGGCAATGCAAAACAGAATATCCATACTGAGAACCTGAAGGTATTTGAACCCTATTGACCAAGAGGCATAGAGTCTTGATTACTTTCCTAATTCACAGGGGACAGACAGCAGCAAGAATACAGCAATGAGAAGCAATAAGTCAACATGAATAACACTTTCAGTGGTAACATCAGTATCTGCCTGGCAAAATGTGTTTTCTTCCAATGTCTCCGTCAGAAAAGTTAAACTTGTACAACTGAGCTGGGCTTTGCTCTTCCCAGTGATCAGTGCAAGGTTGTGTTCACTACAGTACAGCACAAGTTGACATGTGAGGGAGATTGAGATCTTGAGGTAGGCAGGGACTGCAGGTGTTTGGGCTAGATGCAATGTCAGCTCTGCTCAGGGCTATTGCCACCGTCATCCCAGCAGCTGAGAAAGAAATAGAGGTGACTTTCTGGGGTATTTCTTTTCCTCTTCAGCAAAGGTGAGGTTTAAACAGCAGGGAAATGAAATAGACTGCAGAGTTTTATGGAGATTGTCTCTACATTATAATCTGTGTAGTACTCAAGCTGTGTGACTTGGCAGAAGGTGGACACTGTTTCATGTTCTATCTCTCCTCTGCCACTGCCTGCTCTCCTGGACCTGTGCCACTCCAAATTTCCATTCCACTTATTAAATGAAAATGAATTCACAGTTATGCATAGCATTCTTTGCACTGGGGGCATCAATGGTGAACTCCCTTTTGACTTGCAGCAACACCAGAGATACAGGGTCCTCCATCTCCCTTAGGGATGGACAGGTATCCAGGGAAAAGCCCTGTAGCCTGAGATGTAGAGCAACACAAATCTTGCCATCCTTCCAAGCACATTTTAATGAAAGAATAAAGGTTTTCCTGCATAGTCTCCCTGCTTCTCCACTGCTTGTAATCTGTTATTTCATGTTTAAATCAGCCTCTTCCTTTGCAGAGGTGATAAATTTCATATGGTGATGTGCCTGTGAAAGCTGACTGATACTACAGGGAGAGGATCACATCTTCCAGGTAAAGCCCCTACCACAGCAGTGGGTGAGATGTAAAGAGTCAAAAACAAGGTGGTTAAAGAGAAAGGAAAAGTGTCTGTTATGAGCCAGGCAGACTTTCTTTTTTTAAAGACACATTTAAAAGCAATTTCTCAGTACTTACCAATTTTGTTTTTCCCTTCTTCATATTTCACTCTTTGTAAGATATGGTGTACAATTCTACTTCTTGTAGCATTATTGAAGAAAGTGTCTTTGTTGTGTATTATGAAGCTACGTGAAAATAAAAACCAAGGGCATCTCAGAAATATGTCATAGCACATTTAAGGCAAATATTTAGTTCCATTACTTTCTGCAGCACTCTAAAAATGTATGACAGCAAGTGCAAGGAGGATTAAAGACACTTGATTAAGAGATGATTAGCCAGGTGAGACACTGTCAGTAACAGTATTCATTCTCTTACAAAGAATTACATGGAGAAGTCTGGAGAAGATATTTAAGTATTCATTATGATATGCATAACTTTTAGATAATTCACTGAAAACTACAAAATTCTTGCCCAAAAAAATTGCAAAAGCATATCTTTGTAAGTGCAGGAGTAGATTTTCACATCTTTTTTGTTATGCTTTACCATTAAGAGTCAGTTGGAAATATCTAGTTGGTAAACCATTCTTACTGAAAACTATTACTGAATACAATGTTAGGAATTGAAAGTATCGTATGCTTCTATATTTGGACCTGGAAGCTAAACTACAGTAGAAAATTAGCTCTCAGAGGCCACTTATTAAGTATGAATGCAGGTTCTATGTTCAATAGGCTAGATGGAACTGTGGTAAGTCCAAATAATTTTATGTTCAATAGGCTAGATGGAACTGTGGTAAGTCCAAATAATTTTATGTTCAATAGGCTAGATGGAACTGTGGTAAGTCCAAATAATTTTTAAAAACCCAACAAACCCTGTGGATAGGAAGTAATATTGGTTTCCACATCTGTGTTTTTGAAGAGATGCAGAATTGAATAAACTGATAAATAAAATGTTAAGGTCACAGAGGTGTCATAGAGAGATGAGTACATAGGAGAGCACACTAGACAAATACGGCCTTAATGAGATCATCTTAATCAGGAGCTTGGTGTGGATTCACTTCACCTTCTCTTTTGCACAATGTGAGATTCACTGCTCAGTTTTCCCCTCAGGTAATTTTACCCAAATGAAATTTTTTTTTCCACTCAATCTTCACCCATGGGAAATAATATACAGCTTTGCACCTCCACAGTAATTTTGAAAAAAGAGGAGTCCAACTTCTGGACTTTGAGAACTTCGTGTGCTCCCTCTTTATTATCAAAATTCTCAGCTGAATTTTCAATACAATACAATGTGTACATAAGTTCCTTATGTTCTTCTTCAAAGCTGACAGTAAAAAAAAATCCTAGAGTAAAGGTATGTAAGACAAACAGCTCCAAGAGCACCAGAAGTAATAAAACCTGGTTTTCTAGAGATTACTATCTCATGTCTCCTTTGCCACTGCACCCCAGATACTCACAGGCCATTTCTGTGTCTACAATCTACTCACTACTGTACTCACTACTTCTGGCTTCCTCCCATTTCCCTGCTATTCCCAAAGTCCTACTCATGCCCTACAGTACCTACCAAAAGTAATTAAGATTTATGCATACTGGCTGACTACAACCTGCATGCTGATTTACCAGGGGGCTGGTACCAAACAGCAAATGCAATTGGTGTCCACTGCCTTTTCTGTATAGGAACAGGTTTGGGCCACTATTCCATTTCAAGCTGCTATTACTCAAAAGGTATGTAACACTGGGCTTATCTTTCAGATACAGAAAGATATGTAGATATAAAGATGTATCTTTACTGCTACACCTGCATCAAATTCAGTTGAAAGTAATCACTATGTAAAATAATAACTATTAAAAATATTTTGAGAAAAAGGAAATACTCTATTCATGTAAATCTTAGTGCTGATAGAAATTATATTTTTAAAAATCTATACTCTGAAGCAGGTAGAACATTATTGTTTTCAGCTGAAGCTGGAACTCTATATTAGGCTGTTTTCATAGCAGCAGAAACAAATTAAAAGGCAGGAGTAAATCAGAAATGAACAATTAGAGATTTTTGCTCTTTATTTAATTTTCTTTTGCTGCCTGACTATTCAAGACCCCACCTTCCAGACAGCACTATATGTTAAAGAACTGTGAAGATAATTTCACAGATATCAAAACAGCACAGTAATTCTCATTCTGACTTAGCTTGACTCGTCATTCTGACGAGCTCTTGTAGGATTCAATAGCGAATTGGATCACCTTATCTGGGAAACCTGCAACATGGAACCAGATAACATCTTAATCTATTTTCAATGTAATACAAGGTTATTTTGCTCATGTGTTATCACAACTGTCTCATACTGCAACTAGAGGTAGCCATTTGTATGTATTTTCTGAAGAATTTGTTTAATAGTTTTGTTTGTATTAAAGAATTTCTATTTTCATGAGTCATGAATACAAAAAGTCCAAAATAAAGGATTATATGAACTCTAAAAAACAAAGAAATAATCACTTGTTTAAAGAAACACTTCAGTAATTTGCATTCATTTGCAAACTTAGTAATTGTGTTATTATAGCTTTTGATCTCACATGGGCAAGAAGAAATAACCAGACATGTCTGTGAAGCAGATGTAAACACCTCAGTATAATAGCTGCCATGAAGAACTCTGCCTATGCCAGAATAGCCGAAGTAGTCCTAAAACACCTGTGAGAATATGAGCTGCAGAGGTTCTGCCCTGCTCAGTCTTGTGCCAGTAAGGGAAGGAGGAGGAGAGGAGAGGAGAGGAAGGACTCACCATTATCAGAGTGGGTCAAAAACATGCTCTTGAGTGTTTTCCAAAGTTATCCATGAAGACATGGATAAAGAAGAGATTCTAGGGTTCAGCAAAGGTGAAAAAGTTGTGGCAAAAATGAGTCCTCTGGATGTCCTGGATCATCCCTAACAATATAATTATTTTGGGATAGAACTGCATGTGGTAATATTTAAAAAATAATCCTCACTTATTTTTGAACATAAAAGTCATAGGGTTTTAAAAATGTGCTTAACTCAAATAATCATTTTTTATTCAGTGAAATTGTCTGTAGAGTAGACCCAGAAAGAGCAGCATCACCATGATCAATGGGGAAGGGACCTCTGGCAACAAAAATAGGAAGACATGAGTGGAAGGCCTTGAAAGATTGAGAATACCTCAGGTAGTTGTATCTGTATTACAACATCCCAGTTAGACATTGACATAAATTAGGACAATGTCAGGGAGGTTTCAATTTATCTCAAAAGCCACAGGAGTTGCTCTTTCCAGGTGATAATCAGGCAGCTCAGTGCCTTACCCCTTTCGACCACCTCCCTTTCTTCCTGTGCTTCATGGACTTTTCTTCCCCCCAAATCTTTGTGCTTCATTTTGTCTTATTTCTGAATGTGGGTGGTAAATCCATATTCACAGAATAACCATCAAAGCTATCTCATGTTCCACAGCATCCAATGAAGAATTCAAAGGAGAAATATTTTCTCAGTCTTTGAAGAATCTCACACTTCAGATTTCAGTTCACAGGGTCCGGACCTGAAGACAATTTAAAACTAGTACACACAAACATCAGACATTACTGAGCTATGAACTGTATAAAGCAGAGGCTTTCTAGTGAGTTTTTTAACACTTGTTGCTTTTAGGTGGAAGAATTGCCTCAGCTGTTCTGTTTCTGCTGCCCTTGTTAGATTTTCAACATGCACAAGGATTTGAATATTCATAAGAGCAATACAGCTTGTTTTCAGGTTCAGTAAGGGTTTAGACTTTATTTATGAGACTCTTCACTGATGGTTTTCATCATTTTGTTGCCTCATTTGTAAGACAAAAAGCAAGTAAGGATTAATACATTGTAATTTTTTTATCTGTGAAGTTAATGTATAGGTAGATAAACCCAGTGATTTGTTCCACAACAGCTATATTCATTAACTTGGTCCTGTAAGTCTTATTTATGTGAGTTATCCTTACTCAAAAGGAAAATCCCAATGAAGATAATGAGAATACTTTTGGAAGGAAAGCTTCCAGAGATGATCCTTAATTAAAGTCCCTTTCAGAAATGTCATTATGAAAATACTGCTCTTACATTTAATGCTGTAAGAGACATGAAGAGTCAGTGAAGGTTAATTGCTTTGAAGCTATATTTGTAGCCTTTTTAATTAAATTGTGAAGTGGAAATTTCAAACTATCTTTCTGTGGATAGCAAAGCACAGCAAAGCTAACTGTTGTCTAAAGAAAGATCTCAAATTAGTGCAAATTCAACCAAGAAAAAATTACCAATGCATTTCTATTCCTATATTGTCTTTGGTAATTTTGCAGGTTGCACAAATCCTTAAAAGGTAAATTTAGCTCTTGAATCTTTGAACACACATTTGAAAAATAGTGGGTTTACTTTTCTTGATTTATTTTACTTTTTATATTTTGGAAAGCAAAAGGCAGGAAAAAGCTGCTTTCTGCTTTAGTAGCAAGATAAACATGCTGAAATCTGAACACCTGTGGTCTGGTGACAAATGTATACAGGGAGGATGGATACATGCACAGATCCGTGTGTATCTTTGCACTGTGGGATCCACAGACACTGAAACATTTGATGTCTGACACTCACCATATCTACAATTGCCTTCTGCTGGAAGCAGTACAAACTAAGAACACAGACATTGGAAATAGTGATCTCTATGTGAGTAGTGTATTCCTTAGCACAGGAAAAAATGCCCAGGTAAATCACTGAGCCAACAGCCAGCCTGTTGTTGGCTGAGGTAAAAGCAGGTTTTCAGCTCATTTAACGTAGAGAAAGTAAATCACCAGCTTTAGTAGCAGCAACAACATGAACATGCAGTATTCCCCTGAGAATAATACCACACATTTCTCTACTTTATTTGCATGAAAATGACTATATTATTAGCACTTGCTGATTTCATTTTGCTTGACTTTCAAGATTGCAGCTGTCTTGTTTAAGAGCATTTTTGTTAATGGTTAGCAGGAGGTTTTCATATCATATGCCTAAAACAGGGTCACTTTGGGATGAAGAATGTTGTAGTGGCTCTCTGTGTTTCCAATTTGGCACCACAGCCTCGAAACTGCCAAAGTAAAATAGAAAGTCATGAAAGAGCTGAATCTCTCCTCTGCCTTCCTCTACCTTTGCCCCAGATCAGTCTTCTCCCCAGATCACTTCTTAATTTAAATTAGTTCACTTAGAAATATTCACCTGAGATAGAAGTAGGGAGCCTTTTGCATTTTTCAGGGATGCCCTGCTTCCTTCTATTTTTCATGCAATTAAAACTTCCAGAATCAGAGGGAATAAAAAAATAAAACATTGTAGGGCATGTCCAAGTTTGGCAGCACAAATATTTGTCTAGAGTAGGATTTACAAATCTGTGATTCCCCATTGATAAAAAGCCATTTAAAAATGTATAGTTATTATACTGCATATGTATATAAACACCAGAATGACCATCCTTGTTCAAAACAAGTAAGTGTCCATGCAGCCCTGTGCCATGTTGCAGCAGCTCCCTGATCTACCCGTGATTTTGGGGTGAGGGGGCTCAAGGGAACATGGGCATAAAAACGTCTTGGTAGAGATGAGGTTTGTTAAGATCACTTTGAACACCAGAAAAAGCTTGAAAAGACAAGCTGTCTTTGAGAGACACATATCTTTGAAATCTGGAAAAAATACAAGACTCATGTACCACAGGGGGACATAATACAAATGAGAAGACATCCATTAACCTCTGGTATACAGGGCCATTTTTTGCTTAATTAATCAAGTTACTATCCTAGTCCTCCTAATTGAGTAAATTTTTAATCTTATTTTCACTAAGTAATAAATATTTATTTTAAGTGGTTATTCAATTATATATTAGATTAATATTTAATCAGAGAGTTTATCGCCTTCAAAAGAAAAAAAACAAAGGGGAGATAGCTCCTGATATAGAGTTTGAAATCTCTAAACAGCAATTAACATATTTTCCTAGCTAGTATGCAGTTATCTCAGAAATTGCAGCTAATTGCTGCTGTTACTATTCCCAAGTGACTAGCAGCTGACTACACAAAATAACTAAGATGTAGTAGAAGAACATCTAAGTGTGTCTAATGGTAAACATTTTTCACATCTTGTGCATTCTTGTAAGGGATAATTTTCAGAAGAAATACTTTGGTATAAGCACAGCCTTTTCCAAGCTGTGGCTTGCAGAAAAGAGACACTACTCAGAAGTCTATCTTGAAAATAACAATTTTGTATTCCACACAATTAAAAAAAAAAAAAAAAGTGCTTGGCAGAACTTCTTTCCTTCAAAATGAGGTTTTCTATTACTTAAGAAATAAGATGAATTTTGGTCTTCTCTTGTACTGAAAATTTTGTGATATACCCCATGAAGTATACCATGATGCCTTTAAAAGAAAACCTGAAGCTGTGCTGCAAAAGTTATAGGCAGATCTCACAAATGTCGTTCTTGTGTTTTCTTCTTTGCCAGTTTTGGAGAAAGGACAGATGGCTAGCTGTGCCTGTTAAAACAAACTTAATTTGTTTTTGGAAAGCTGAATTTCTCCGCATATGGCTTTTTTCCATCTGAATGGGAAAGAAAAACGCAAGAAAGAAAAAGTCTATTGACATGATCTACTAAAGTTGCACACACTTATTGTGCATCAATATTTTTAAAATATTATTTCCTATGGAAATAAGGTCTGGTCAGGTTTTTTCTTAATTATTTTCCATCCCAAAGACCAAATTGTAAGTATTGTCACTTATTTGTCTTTCTATGGAAAGAAACTTTTAAAATAAACTATCACAAATGGTGTCTCCATTCAGGTCATATTATAAAATTTGTATCAGACTGGAGCCCTCTGTGTGGAAACTGTGGCTACATTACAAAAGATAAACTGACTGTTCTTTAATGATGTGAAAGACATCTGAAGAAAGGAAGACATAAGGACTTTTAGACCCAAATTGCAATATTTCAAATGCAGCCAAGCTCATATGAATATTTAAGGCATAATATTTTAGAAAATGAAAAGCCCATAAAACCAGGCAAAAAGGAAGAATTTGTCTCCAAGTAGGGTATGTGGCAAAATCTACTGTGAGGCCATGGAGATCTTGTCTAAAAACTAAGGATATGGAGTTTTATGCTTTCAAGATTGTTGTAATTGTGAGTGATTTACTTCATTGTCTTCATTAAGCATGTCTTGAATAAACAGTAATTTATGGCAACACAGAAATCCAAAATATTTTCGACTGCCAAAAGTACATATCTTACTCTCCAGAAATACTTGTACAATAGCCAGAAAAATCCTCATTAGTGTAATTAAAAGACTGATTATATATTTTAGGCTCCTGTGGATATTTCTCAAAGTACAGTTAAATGTACTTCCCACTCATTTCTTCTTCTCACTTAGGATTTGAGATTTCCTGGAAAATTTTATGGCTCCTACTATAAACTTAAAACTCAAAATCTGTACGTAAGTTCTGACAAAAAGCAGACACTAGTGGCATTTTTCAGCTACCACCTTAATACAGTGCAAAAGGACTAAAAAACTTGCATTTATTCTGCATTCTCTGAGGACTTCAAGAACCGAACAAGTTACAAATATTTGCTTTGCTCAGAAGATGGCCATATGTTCAATGAAAATTCTTAAACAACACTGAGGTCAGCCAGCTGAGCACTGGTGTGGTACTGGGACCTCTCCTGTCCTGTACCTGTTCTTTCTGAATCAGTTTTGGCACAACTGTGTGATGGAAGAGGAGGCAGAGTCACAGCAAAAGGCCCAAGAGTAGGAAAGAGACTGCCACTGTTCTTTTAGACTATAGGATGATGTGCTTGTGGAACACTGAACTCCAGAAATAACTGCTCATGACAATTTCATAGCCTCCAGTATAATTACATTGTATTGGTAATATGGTGAGAGCACTCTAGCCAAACTTTAACTGTCCCAAATATCAAAATGTATGCACTTTTCTTAACACTGACAAAACGCAAGGTAAATTATCATAACATTACTGTAGATGGCAATTCTTTTCAGCATCTCATAAATTTCAGTGATTATTTATCTTCACATTCTTAAAAAAATATTGTGGGTTTCTGGGTTAAAAAATTTAAATACATACATGCAACTGGGTAGAAAAATATTGAACAAGTTATTGTATTTCAAAATTCTAATGAAACAAAACAAGCCAAACACAGGAAACAGGCTGAAGCAAGATAGGAGCACCATTGCTGTCAGAACCAGCCTCTTTTGGGAGGAGACCAGCTCAGCCAACATTTTATAAGCCCTCACACAAAAGGATAGGAAGATTACACACAGAAGGCTAAGCAGAAAATGTCAGGTCTGCCAGGGAATAAAGTTTCCAAGTCTGCAATGACGTAGAAGAAGTGCCAAACAACAGCAGGAGTGTTAATGAAACCAACACTACTTAATAAACTCTCCTGCCTGTTTACCAACATGAACATGAGCAAGGCAGAAGAATGAAAAAAAATTCTAGTTCATATATATCAATTTTCCTTTCAGCTACAAAATATCTCTCAGAACAAACCACTAACCCCTTTCCTACATGCAGTAATTTTAAGGGAAGTTAGCAGTTAATATTACTGGTAATAAGAACATTAATGCTGACATACTAATTTATTAGTTTTTTAGTATCCCTGGTCTATTCTCAAACTAATTTGCACCTACTTTTTCTCTTGCAGGGCACAATAACTGACCCATCTCTGTATCAAGCAGACTTCTGTTGAAATTTCCCTGGAGTTTTGCACCTGTTCTTGTTTTTCTGCTGTATTTGGAAAGATGCCATTTGTGGCAGAGGTTTATTTTACTGGCTTTTATTGCAGCTAGTAAATCAAATCCCTGAAAAAATATTCATTGAAAATTAGGTATTTCAGAGGTTTATCAGCCTGGATTCTCCCTGAATAAAACCACATATTTCAGAATTTTAGTGACTTATAATTCATTCTGTGTCTTCTTTTAGTACCCTTAACAGTGCTGCTTAATCTTTGCAGTTTTGCTGTCACCCAATGACTGTTTCTCATATCACAAAAAGTGTAACTACCCATAAGACATAAAAAATTTTACATACCTTAAATGCCATATGAGTTCTGAAAGTTATGTGGGGCTTTTTCTGTTCTGCATTTTGCAAGGGAATAAAGGCTTCTTGTAGCCAAGTGATTTCTCTGACACTTGTCCAACACTGGTGCTATTGGTGGAAAAGTGTCACTGCTAGGTCTAAACACTGTCTGAACACTGCCATTTTGCAAGCGGTTTTGCTTCCATAAAATTGAAAGAGAAATGCAATCAAATCAGCATTGTCTGTTTTCTTTAGAGTTTTGTTTGTTCTACAGTTTTAACTAGGAATAAAATGCAAGTATCAGTATTAAAACCATTAGTGATGAAGGACTACTTTTGATTATGCTAAAGACATAAGGAATGCTGAGAAAAGTTTTAATCACATCTTTAAGTAAAAAAGAACAACTGTAATTCTGACCTGAGAGAGAAAATAGCCATTTGATCCCTTTAAAAACATAATTGAAATTCCAGTGAATTAAAAGGAAATTTCCCATTGATTTCCTTAGCTTTGAGCTGGACCTTTAATTAATATAAATGTAGACTAGCTATCTCTTCCTTTCTGTGAAAAAAGACGAATATGAAGGCACTAGTCCTTAAGACATGAACAAAGAAATAATTTTTTTCCGAGGTGAATCCAGAAGGAAAAGTTGTCACCTTGCAGCTGAGATATGATAGAATACTCACTGATGGATCCTTTGTTGGCTGAATGGAGCAGTATAGCAGTCATTCTCCTCCAGATCTGGCAGTGTTTCCTTGTCCAGTTTCATTGGCTTTCTGGGCAACCATCCTCGGAACCTGCTTATTTGTTTCTCGATCCTGCAGCACATGATAAGTATGAGCATTTGTGATAATGGGTTTTTTCACTACATTATGAAGAACCATCCTGGTTGTCAAACCAGGATACTGAATATTTACAACTAGGAAAGGCGCAATGTCTTCTGGTTTTTGTTGAGGCAAACCAAATTACATATGCTGAACTCAATTAGTCATAACCAGCTTTCTGCAGAGGAGCATTTATTTTGTCTCATGAGAAAAGCAATGCTGATGGTACATGATGCCATAAATCTTATTCAGCCCAGTGAGTTCTTGGCATGCCTCTAAATCTTTATTTCTCAGATTTTCAGTTAGTTTAAAATTCAGTTTTAACCAACATTAGATTTTGGCCATCTAAACATTAGAACAGTTTAGTTCTGTTCTGATCTGTTCTGGACAAAGATCTTTGGCAGCTAAACCCAGCAAGTGACATTCCATTACTGCTCTCTGTATGGATTCTTACCTTGCAGTTGATGCTATTAAAAATAGACTACTTTGTTCATTTCATTCAACTGTAGTTTCTTGCAACACTACAATCTCCATGACACCAGAACTCAGGGTGTATAGGCTAACAGGTGACTGCTATGCAGATTTTTACATTTGGAAGGTGAAAACAAACAGCAACTGGATAAAGGGCAGATTTAACCTACAGGTGCACTCGTGCAAAGATACACAGTGAAATGATCAGAAGAATCAGAGTTCACTGGAGAAGACAAACTAAACCAAATTCAAATCCATACTAGAATGTTATAATGGAAACACCTAAGAAAGCTATGTTTAGCACAGTGAGCCCTACTGCAAATCCTAACCACTGATCCCTGCAAAAATCATGGATTACAAATTATGGAGTGTGCCCATACTTCAGCCACTGGATGAATGTTTCCAGAAGTGGAGCTAAAGGACAAAAATTTACTTCCTTTGAATTTAAAACTCAGTTTTGAGAGAAGATCAAGGATTGGAAATAGGGTTGAGGAGGGTTTGTTTGTAATGTTTGTTTTGTGGGTTTTTTTGTAGTTGTTGTTTTGGGATTTTTTTGAAACAGCCAACACAAGAACTCTGAAGACCAGCAAATGTTAGTACCTCTGCATAGTCAGTTTGAGGGAGGAGAACCCATATCCAGGCAGCTGAATATATGGGGAAGTTATGTGAAAATGTCACATATTTTCATTTAAAATTAATATATTTTTTCCTGGAATATTCAGCCTTTGTCCACCAGGTTTTATCTTGGATAAGGAAGCTCATGCTCATTTTTAAACATGGGCACATTTCAAAATTGTAAATAAATCAGCTGTACCTGTTTTAGTGTCATTTCTCTACTTCCAATCTGAAATAGCATGATGGGGTGAGGGGTGTCAGGTGTTGCATATGTATGCAAATTTATCATCAGGACTGTTTGGGAAAACTGGAACATGTATGTAAACTTAATATAAGATTTAATTACTTAATTAATCATAACCTCTCCATGGGCAGTGTTTGCACTGACCCAGCAGTTTGAGCACAGGAAAAGGTAGTTTGCAAATGTCTGTGCTGAATGCAGGTGAGATGTCAGATCCCAGGGCTCTAAAGGGTCTGATCCATTGTAACTCTCCAGCTGCAGCATCCTGACAGCCTTGAGCTAGTCTGTGGAGGCAGATAGAAATGCCAAGGGAAAGCAAGTTCTTTACAGGGGAAATCCCTGTCCTTTGGCCTTTGGTTTTTGCCCTGCAAATTCAGTGAGTCCTGTGTTACTGTATATTCAGCAGGCTTAGTGTGTCTGAGTATGGAAGAAGGAAGAGGAATTAGGAAGGTTTTTCTAAATATCCTCTTCCATTTCTGTTAATTAAACTCGTTTGAATTCTCTAAGCTATTAACACCCCTGCCCATCTGCAGTCCTTTCCCATTCATGCTGCAAATCGTGCACGTTTGAGATACCGACTACTGCAGGTTTATCACACCACACAAGCACAGCACAAAGGGACTGAGTGCTTTCCCCACTTAACAGCAATGCATTATTCATGCTGGCTTCTCACTGAGTGTACCCAGAATCTGAGTTTGCCATTCCCAGGACTCAGATTATTTGGCATGCTCAGTCAGCCTGCAGGCAAACGGGTCTGAGAAGGTTGCAAAACCTTACTGCAAAGCACAGAACATGCAGCACAGCCTTCTGCAAGGAAAGCAAGCCCCCCTAGTTATCTCCTTGGAAAAGAAAAATGACCAAGTTTTAAAAATTCCACTAGCTCATTCCAACAGTGTCGTCAGACAGCAGTGCAGGTTTGTACTCTACAGGATCACCTCCCAAAAGGAAAAAGCTGAAAGAGTGGTGTTGGTACTAACAAATACAGGCACACAGTGTTAAAAATCTATTTTTAAAAATAATTTCTTCAAGGCTATGTCTCATTTTTGCCACACTCAGCTGAATAGGGGAAAGATGTTTGGAAAGCAGTGTGACCTCCCCAGGAATAAGGTGATGGAGTGATAGAGAGGTAGCTGCTTCACACAGTGCCTCAAAGGCAGAGTGTCTCCCACTTCAATCCTGCCTCTGCTCTACAAGTCTAGCCTTTACTCAGCACCCTCTTTCTAAAGATACATATTGTGTTTAACTCACACAGTTTCTCAAATAATTTAAAAAAACCTGTTTTCTCACCATAAAGTAGGGTAGGGATAGAAAAGTTTTTCATAAAAAAGTTAGGAAAATAGAAAAAGGTTTTGCATTGAGACTGATTTTTATGAGTGGGCCAGTTTTCATGAATTTATGCATATTGTGGTGCCAGCTATTTTATTAGTTTAATTTTAAACCATGATGCAGGTGCTATAAGGTGTCTGATACCCCTCCTTTCCTTTAAAATAGGGATGTTTTGTAATTTGAAGTGTTGAGATCACTAGAATTTTTCAGAGAGAAAATTCAAGTCAGGTTCACAAGTTGCAAGAGACATGCTCTGGGCTTTGCCTTGTGACGAAACTCCTCTCTAAAATAAATTTTGCCCAAATGTCAAAATAATGTTTGTATTAACTCAAAAAATGAAGAAAGGCTTTGGGTACTTGTCATCTACACTGAACTATGAGTAGAGGAAATAGATACTTTTATTGAAGCCATATATCTAAGTTTCACATAAATGAAAATAAAGCTGAATATTTTTTATTTTTCCCCTCTGGGGACATTCAGTTACAGCCTTTCTTCCTCAAGTAGCTATTTATAGACATGAACATGAAAACTGAATTTAGTGTTCTCTTCACTCAGGAACTAAATACCAGAAAAAGATCATACCTCTTCCCATACTGATTTCAAATTGCATCCTGACTCATAAGACAATGAATGTGAAGCAAAACTTCATATAACACATATAAATGATGGAACCTTCACCTTCTCCTTTCTAACTATTGCTTTAGTCAAAGCAGACGTATCTTCCTTAAAGTCAAGACCAATTACAAAGCTAACCGCCACTATAGTATCTATTGTAAGGTGGGAATGGAAAGTGAGGCAGCAACAAAAATCTGTAGAAGATTTGTCTGCATTTATTACTGTGTCCCAAAGAAGGATAAAATGCTTCAACTCCACAAAGGGCTCATTTGGTGCTTATTAATATGAAAAGGCAAATTCCATAATGTGATATCAGTGCTGGTGCTGTCAAGTTACCAGTACACCGTGAAATAACTTAATATCCAAAATGCTTTTTAATATGCTCATATTGCAGAGTGATTTTGCCATGAATGTAAATGTATTGACATTCTGTGCAAAATGGTATGGGTGTTTACTCCAAAATGCAGATTTTTCAAATTTAATTTTTCTCTCTTAGAGGTTCTTGGAAATATTTCCACTGACCTCAGTAAAAGAATAGATTAGGGACTGGACCATTGAAAACTGCATCAAGAGTACCATGGCATTAAATGCTGTATACAGTGAGAGAGACAGTTGAGAGAGATAATTGTAGATATATAAATTATCTGGCTTTTGTCAAGTCTGTATACTTTTTAGGCATTTTGGAGATATTTTCATTTAATTTTCCAAGGTATAAAAAAGAAAATGCAAACTGCTTCAGGAAAAGAGTTTCATTTCTTGAAGTCAGACGTAACCTGGGCATCAAGCATAACCTTAAAGGTATTTAATAATTGAGTGAAAACACTCCAAAAATTGTTGGAAAATGCACATCTCTCAAGCTTGGTTCATTGGCTTCCTATCTGCCAACAAAGTACTAAGCATCCCCACAGAGAAATCAATAAATAAATAATGCCATCACTATTACAAGTAAGCAGGGTTCATAGAAATTGAAAAACCCCTCTAACTGTGGTACTCCAACCCCAAGAAACTCCCTAATGAGCTACATGGAAAGAAGGAGATACAGCGTTTGTACTAACATACTTCTATTTCTTTGAAGACTCCATCACTTGAAAAGTATTTTCTTATTCCTAAAAAAGGCAAAACTGACAAAATTAATTGCTTCTTTCACAATGCCTTAAAAATGCAACTTCTGTTTGGTTTTTTTTGCGGATGTCCTAGTATGTAACCACTCCATCATTTCTACAAACACAGCTGATAAGCTTTTCCTTCCAGCTTGACTTTAACAATTTTTTTGTTATTGGGTCCAAATGAGCATAAACTGGCATGAGAACTGTACTCACCTATTCATGAACTTGTATCGGCGATGCAGGTAATAGATTTTTCTCCTGGAAGAACAGCAAAAATGAAGCCAGTCGAGAAGAAAACCCATCGTCAGTTACAGTATGAACTAGCAAGGAAGGAAAGGAGATTGAAGACAGAAGCCTGTAAGAGGTGGAGGAAGAGACTAAAAGAGAGATTAACAGAACCGTCACAGGAAGCCACGCAGACACTGGTGGCATTTGAATTGCCAGAAGCTCATAATTTTCCCATTGTCTCCTCCTTTTCTGCTATTTGTCATGTGTGGAAGATGGGGATCCGAAGATGTTTCTATTTCAGAGTTCATAAACTGTTGCAGGAATTCCATAGGACTGACACAAATATGGGTAAGTCATATGATGCCTACTAGTGAGTTATTAAAGCTGCATTTGGTGAAATATAAGGGGGAATCACTTAGAAAAGCCAGGAAAGCTGTACCTTATGCTGCAATATGCTGTAACACATGCAGTACCAAGCGGGGCCTGTGATTCCTGTTAGGATAACATCCCTTGAAACAGAATATAGGCTACACAAGCCAATGCACATGTGCTCAGCACCCCGCCAAGTGTGCAGCCACTCCCTGTGCCCCTCATTCAGGCTGGTTTCTGTTGTCAGTGCAATAAGCTGTGTGTGAGAGCAAACAATCAGCAAGGGGACACGAGCAGACACATGCTGAACCCACTCCCAGCCTGCCTCCTGACCAGCCCTGTGGTCCAGAGCAGCCCCTAACCACCATGTGGAGATCCAGGACAGGGAGTCCACGTCCTGTGCCACTGCCCTGCTGGCTGCTCTTGCTCTTCTCATAGACGCCTATCACACCGCAGCTGCCAGGATGTGACACATTGCCTTCAGCACAGAGATCGCATCTTCATGAGAGTTAAGAATATCTGAGGGTTCTTTACTGTGGATTTGGGACTCATACTCCTTACTGGAAGATTTGGGTGCCTGACCAAACTCTGATTTCCTCCTCCAGAGGCTGACTTTGTCATCCACTGAAGGCAATTGCTAAATCAGGGTGGTTTCTGTGTATTCTGAGAGGTTTCGTTGTGTAATGCAGAACTGCCCACTTCTGGAAAATGAAGGCTTACACCACACATGTTCTAAATATTGTAGTAGATGTAGTGTAGGAATGTTGTTAGTGCCTTGGAAGCAAGTCCTCTAAAATGAGACAACACTAATTCTTTATAAATTATTTAAAAATTTTGTTAGCATTCCAGGTTAATTTTCAGAACTTTTGATTATTTTTGTTGTTAGAGTCCATATTGTGCAGGTGAAGTAAAATTTTTTAAACTATTTCATGTTGGCCAGCCTTCTTTGGATAGTGTTATTTATCTTGCTCTATTCAATATACTCAATATCTTGCTCTGCTTGACCTTTCTCAGCAGAGAAAGGTCAAAGCTAAGTGTTTCTGAAGATGCCATACACTTCTTAATTTTGCTTCCAATATTCAGAGGTATCCACCACTTTTTCCCTCCTGCTTTGGAGCAACAAGGATTTCATTCAGTGATGCATGGACCTTGCACAATTCCAGTCTGAATAATCAGGAGCAATAAGCAATCAGTAACTCTTTAAACAAGGGCTTAGACAAAGGCATCTGGGAACATACCATCTAGAGTTGTGGACACTTTGTAAAACTTTTTGAATTGATAAACTGTACTGTTGTTTTTAAGAAAAAATTAAAGAGCCTGCCCAGCAGTCACTAGTGAATTACCATGATTTCCTCTTAACAATGCTGTAGTAATTCTCTTTCTATGGATGTGGAAAGAATCACGATCCTGAAGCCATGATCCTCAGTATTTTCAAAGTTTTCTATATAATCTGTATGACACCTACTTTGCTATCTGCTGAGTGATCAGGAAAGAACAAGCTGCTCCATTACTAAATTCAGAGTTCCTGGTGTATTTCTGAATCATGAGACCTCTCTCCACTGCCAGAGAAGGTCCATCTCAAGGAACGCCACAGAAGTCAAAGGCGCACACTTTTGGCCTAATTCATTGTTTCTATGGCTGGAATACTTTTTAAAATGAATATTACTATCCTGAAATGACTTGTGATTGCTTTTAGACTTTTCTGTTTAGCAATAAAAGCATAAGGAAGAACCGTTGAAGATTTGCTGTGAATATGAAAACAAAATAAATACCAAATAAGCCTGCAAGTTTGTCCTTTATACATATCCATTTTTCCGTATGAGTTGTCTACTGCTACAGGGTGTCTCATACCAGAGGCATTTTTCATACTTAGGTAAGAAAAAACAGAAGGAATCCTACAAAGGCACCAGCTCACTAGTTGCATATTCTGTGTCTAATTCTTTTATTTTCAGGAGTAATTCCATTAAAATCAATGGAGCTTTATATTGCAAACCCTGCTAATTGAAAGAAGAGTCAAGGCCTCTGAGTTCATGGGTTGTGGAAGTTCCAGTGGAAGTCTTTATGCTACTTTAAAAGTTCAGATAACCAGCAGATTAAAAGCAATATTTTACATAGGAAATTTCATAGCCCAACATGCAAATAAAATTTAATCAATTATAAAAATAACTTGAATTTCAAGGTGGAATTAATCTAGTTATCAGTAGCATTTAATATAATTTCTCTATTTTTTATACAGAAAAAAAACATTCATAGCTTAAATTGTTTTCCTATTAGAAGAGATACTTATTTATACTTATTTATGGGATACTAACTACATACTATACAAGCAATTTACAGGTGCATACCAGATACGTCAAACAGACATGCACTTTCTGTGCTGCCTTACGTACCTGGATCTTCTTGACCTCCCATTGATTTCAATGAAATGTCCATTTAAAAAACAGCAGCGCACAAGTATGCAGGGGGCTCCAGCATTGAAGGGGTTAAAGGGCCTAAGGACAGAATACCCCATGAAAACAGCTGCACTGCTACAGCCCATCTTAATCTCAAACCAGTATTGTATGGAAATTGTAGGCTTTAACAAGAAACAGCAATGCAGGTGGTATCTAAGGAACTCCATTTATATTTCCTAAAGGTATCTGGTATCTTATAGAAAAGCTTTTCTACAGGCATTTTGGTGTTAGCATCACATTAACTTTACAGTATAGTCTGGCTTTGGAGGTTGAGACAAAATACAGCTACACCTACCTGAAAGGCATTCTTACATTCATTAGTTCAGCATATTTGCCCAGGACCTCCCAAGGGGCATGCAGTTTCACAAACATGATGTCACTGTTTGTTAGGGATGACTGTAAAAGAGAAACAAAACAGCCACCAGAGCTTAATTTTTGAAGTAAAAAGGAAAGAAACCATAGTCAGTGGTCAATGTGATGTGTCACGCTCCCCAATTCCTTATTCTTGAAATGTTGTATTGGTATTTTGTCAATTCGTTTTTCTTCTGCTGTCCTGAAAGCCACTCTGTGACTCCCTTCTGGCCTGCATGTGTGCCTCCTTTACATGGAAAAGAGGACATGGAGGGCAGACAGATGCACCTATGGGTTAGCTGAGTGTACACAGCATGAAAGAACTTTCTGCAGGGTGTGCACATCAGCATGGCTGCTACCTAACAGAAAGCTGTCAGGCAAAGACCAGAGGATGTGTGAAGAGCAAAGAGGAGAAGAGGAGGAATTTTGCTCTGTCTGCACTCAGGAGGAGACACAGTGCTCTACAAGAAAGCTACAGCTAGTTTGGCTGAAACTGATGTGAAAACACAGAGAGCCACATGATAATAGTGGAAGATTAAATGTTCAATTTCTAATGAATATTAATTAAATTTTCATGAAGTTACATACAATACAATTTTAGACAATCAAGTAGATGGCATTCCAATAAATAGGTAAAGATGTACATAGTATGAGAAAACGAAACTATGATGACAGAAAACCAGGCAATAAAATTGTTAGCTTTGGGGATGATTTCCTAGTTTTTTAGATGTTGTCTTATATTCAATGTTTCTCACATAAATTCTTGGTTAATACAACTTGCTAGGAGTTCTTAAATCTAGTATTGTTTATCTGGAAACTACTGTGACTGTATGGGTGGCAGGCTGACGTTTATACTTTTTTACACTCTCCCTCCACGATCCTGATAGATGCTGATATTATTGAATTTGCATGTCCATGTCCTTAGAGTGACTAAAATTCTATTATTACTTTGTGACATGATAGGAATGAAAATTCCAACATTTAAGATACATATATATGATTTTATTCAGCACATATAAAAACTCCAAAAAAACTCCAAAAAAACCAAATAAACAAACAAAAACAAAAACAAAAACAAAGGAAAAAACCCCACCCAACTCAATCACTATAGAGTTAACATTCTATAAACAACTACAGTAGTGGACTATAAGGAACATAGATATTTGTACTCAAAATATTACTGGGGTGTAAATATGGATTTAACATATAAAGGAATGAGTGACTTCATGGTGCTAAAAACCGCAGGAAAAAATCATTCTTCTTTGCTGATAAATTTTTGAAAAATATTTCAATGCAAAATGACACAACAGCAACAAAATGCCCCCAAGAGACTTGCTTCTGACACAATGAATTCACTTGCACTCTTTCCCTGACTTTTATGGATTTTAAATCAGGCTTTAATTATGTTTTACTTTATAGGTACACTTCACAAATTAACTTTTCTTTTCCCATGAGAATTTAGCAAGGATATACCACAAAACCAAAACTAAGTTCTGCTACTCCAAAAATCTCCTGCAAACTGCTCTCTCAGAGGTGAGGTTAAGTCAACAGTGGATTGGCAATTTTGTCCTAAATAGCTTGGTTTAAAAAACAAAACAAAACAGAACAAAATCCACCAAACCTCAAAAGAACTATCTAAGAAGCCCAAAATACAGAAAGAAACTACAGTACTGACACACCAATAAAAACTGAGAAATGGGGGAAATTTGTCAAAAACAGCTTTCAAACATAATGATGGCTGTTAAACAAGAAGTTTATAGGTATTTTCCAGCATATTGTAGTTTGAGCCGTACTAGATATGGGAGCCAAACATGACTTGTGAAGATGCTGTTTCACAAGTGAACACTATCTAAATTTGGTATCTTATGTGTTACATATTTTCATGCAGAAACATGAAAAACTTCCGAATGGTTATCACAATACAGATGTTTAAAGAATATTTTTTTACTCTGTATCTTGCAATGTTGGCGCATTAAAATGTTTTCAAAATGACAATCAGCTTTGCTAACAGAAGATCTAACCAACAGAAAATCTAATCAAAATATATTTGGCAGGTTAAGTTATATTCAGAAAAAAGAAATAATAATGCTAAATTATTAATATAAAAATACATTTCTCTTGGGTTTGTTCATGTTAAGTGTTCATAAAGGAAAGAAATAAGCAAGGCTGAGAAACACAAGGCTGGAAAAAACAAGACTGGAAAGAGAAAAACAAATCCAGATGGAGGATGAATTGAATGAGATGTCACACTTACTTAATCTAAGGAGTAAATAGCTAACCAAAATATCTGGAAAAAAGATAGTATGAAGACCATCTACATTACAAAAATACTTTAGTAAATGGAATCTCCTAAACTGTCTTGTTTAGATTTGTATTTAGACTCAGTATCCTTCATCTTATAAATGTTCCAACTGAGAATAGAGGAACATTTTTCTGTCGTAATTGACTTTCAAGGGTTGGCTCATCAAATGATTTGGAGAAGTAAACTAAATTTCACATTATGGGAACATGCAAACAAAAATCAATATAACATTATTCCCCTTGGAAACTTAAATGACAACTATTGACATGAGCAATCTGCTATAAAGTGATGTCCAGATGATGAAGAAAGAAGAACAGAGGAATTAAGGGGGTAAACCAATGAGATAAAGCACTTAACAAACACAGAAATGGAATAAATGTTTGGAATTTACTTGTAGCACCAGTGGATATAATTATCACAATCCAATAATTTTCAGGCCACCAATGTTCAAATAAATTAGTTGGTTTGAATGAATTTATTGAGAAGGAATATCCATTATAAACCTGATTTTCTTCTGGTCACTAATAAACATTCTCAGCAGTCTTCAGAATAGCATAAATCCAGGGTGGCAAGAGACTTTCCAGAATCAGACAACTGTATGCTCATCAAGGGTGGAATGGACCTCTAGGGTTCATCTGGTCTGAGCCCCTGGCTAAAGCAGGGCTTAGATCAGCCTGCTCAGACAGGAGATTGTCCCACTGAGTACTGAATATCTCTACAGGCAGAGATTTCACAGCCTTTGGGCAATCCACTGACTGAAACTGGCTGGAGAAAATAATATTTTCTGTGGAAGAAGTGCTCTCTTCCACAGAGAAATGTTGGATTAAACATACCACTTTCTAGATTTGTTTTCCTCTACAAACATCCTTATTTATTACAAGAACTGTATTTAAATGTTATTCTCATTGAGAAGTGGTAGCAAGGTATATTTGGTTTAGTTGGCCTGATCTTCAAAATAGGTTTGTACAGTAGAATTCAGAGTGCAAGAGTCTGGCTTACAGATATTCAGTATACATTTTGGCTTCACTGACAAACATCATTAGTACTGTATCATTGCTGCCAGTCCTACAATACAGGCAGTACTATAGGTCCACATATTACAGACTTGCCCGTCTGGCAAGGCTACCTTTCTGTTTTACCATTAAGTTTGTAAAGACATTGCTATTTCCCAAAGAAATCCAAAAAACTGCAAACACATTTAAAAACAAAGACACACTTTCTTCTCCAATATCACTATATAAGGAGTGAAAGAGATTAAAGCATGGGCCATTTATGTTAACTCCAAATGCAGAAACACCTGCTATGGTGAGTTACAGTCATCAACTAGGTCAAGGAAAGCTTGTAAAAGGTCAGGTTGTCATTCTTCTAAAGCAGACACAGAGTGGTGCTAACTGCTGGTTAAGTCGTGGCTACTAAACTGCCATGTATTCCTGCAAGCATTCTAATGTCTTTTGATGACAGGATTAAAATATATATGTATTTGTTATTGACCTGACTCTGCTCATTCTGCACTTATCATTGCTAGTCTGAATAGAAGCAGAGTTATGCTGACATAGAATGTCTCTTGAAAAGCCCATATTTTGCTGTATTTCCAGACTGCCTTCCAGGATCAAGGCTATAGATTAGTATCTTTTGTCAAATATTCTCTTGAACATTCTCCTCCTCCTTGCTAATTTTAGTTCATTATCAATAATATTGTCGAGTCATTTTAAACCAAAAGCTGTAAGTACTCACCTTGATACAAGCATTTCTTGAGTCTAAAAGTTAAGAAAGTTGAGAAAACCTATTCATAGCATAGAACCTTGCTGAAGGTTAAAATTACAGTGGTTCTAATTGAATGGTGCCATTGTTTATTTGCCTTGAAGCTAATAGACAATTTTTCATTCATTTATGCAAAACAATAGGGTGAAAAAGAAAGTCAGGATTTACCATTAAGGTGTTTCCTCTATCATCATTTAAGAGAAAAATTCTCAAGGTTGAATCTCTCTTCACCTTTAAAAGCCTTCCCCATAAAAGTAAAATGAGATAAGTAAGATTTTGAAACAGATTTAACAACCAGAATTAATGTCATCTACTTTAGGAATATCTTACAAGGCAAGACAAAAAAACAGAACAGAAACCGGTCTTTACATTTTGGCAAATCTAGCTAATTTCTGGTAAGACCATAATGCAGGGAAAAACAGAAAAGGAGACAAAATCAACATACTTCTTCCAGTAATAATTCTCTCTGTAATCTAGCTCTGTACGATGTTTGAGTGCAGAGTAGTAAACAGTCACTACTACATGTTTCACTGTTTTTGAGAATTACTTAACAGCACAGATTGATTTGCCATGTGGAATGAATTAAGTGGAAAAACAAAACCCAGCAAATTTTTGTTGATTAAACTGTTCTTCCTCTGCAAAACCAAAGTCAATGTAAATTCACGTAGGCAATTCCATGGAGCTGGAAAAACAGGAAGTATATTCTGCCAATACCTTTCCAGTGCATACGTTACTACTGGGCAATTATTTAGATACTATCAATATATGTCTGGTTTCAGAGAAAATATTGCATACTCACAAACATTTGCCTCCACGTTCATGCTTCTGAGGAACCTAGTGAATAACTGGGCCAATATTTTTCACACCTATACCTTCAACAAAAGCATGGGTTTAGTGAAAAGGGGGAATATATTGTTCACATTTTAATTTGGATATTAAGAAGCCTTTGACTTGCAAGAAACTATAGGGCAAAAGCAGTAAG